TTACCCACAAGAGGCACCAAAATCCAAGGCGTGAACACCCTGATATGATCTTTATGGAGGCAGACCATCAATTATCTTTCCCTATAACCTCAAACGTAGTCCCCTCTGTTGGTAACCCCCCCCCCCCTTTGAAATCCATATAAGATTGTGCCGTAGCGCTGCTGTCCGGGCAAAATTTCCCTCATATAGCATACTGTATGGCGTATGCCCGTCTTCACTAGCCCAGTCGGAACAGAACAGTAGGACGTTAAATCCCATTTCATTTCACTGAATTTCTAATTCAAGGAATGATGTATTTGTCTATTTATCTGAAAATAGAATCAAGTAAAAGTTTTGTTGATAGAGCACATTATCAACACCAATACAAATTGTGAGTTAGTGTACACTACCAATGCCGGACTGGGCCCACCTGTCCACCTGTCCGTGACAGGTGGGCCTAAGCTCATTAAAAAAAAGTAGGCCTAAGCCTATAAAGAATAAAGAAAAAAGAAAAGAGAAAGACAAGAGAGGGGGAGAAAAGAAAAGGAAGAAGGAAGGAGAGGACAGGACGCAGGACAGGAGAAAGAAAAGACAGGAAAAAAATGACTGACAAACAACACAAAAAAAGAAGTGTACTAGAATTCTCAAATTCATCTAATGATAGTGCTCTTATCTAATTGTATCAGGAAATGAAAAATTTGCCTTCTTCTGCTTTGGTCTGAAATGCTTGGAAAATGGGTTTGCGGTTGTCAATTTTCAAAATTTCTATCCCCTCCCTCCAGGCACTCGCGTGCCTTCGGCGCGTACTTGTGTGGACCTTGATCAATGACCTGATAGGTGGGCCTTCGTCCCACCAGTCCGGCACTGTACACTACATGTAACTAATAAACTGTAATTTCACTTTTATTGTTATACTTTATCATTTGAAGGTCAATCTTGCCTTTCCTTTTTCAATAATAAGGGGAGACTATGGCCGTGTTAAATATGACATTATACAAAAAGCATTACATTTAATTATTTTCTCGAGTGCAGGATAAGCGTACACTACAGTGCAAGACAATATGGGGAGTTGTCTCCCATTACTGATAGAGATATAAGGGTTTAAAAGTTCATAATATCAGCAACGATTATTTCTTCATGGCTTCACATTTGTTTTAAAAATATTTTTATGTTCCTAAATAAATATAAACACTAAAACAACTACGAAAATGGCGACCCTTTGAGTACCCTTTTGAAAGAGCGCTTCACCTTCGAGGAAGTTGAATTAAGCCGTTTCAATGATCTTCTCTTTTTCTCAAGAATAATTTAAATGAAATATACCCGTCAGTACAGACTCTTCACTGCTTGTGTTTATATTGATATCGTGTGTAGTGTGGACAGATGTAAACTAGTTCAACTAATCTTATTGAATCTAGGTGGTCGATCAACAAACCTTTCTTTCTTGAGAGAGAGAGAGTGAGAAATGGGGTTTAACGTCCACTCGACACAAACTAGGTCATTTCGGGACTAACATATGGTTTTAATTTTATTTACATAATTCGCTTGCGCGTAGGGGTCTTTAGCAGTGGGGGGAAACGGGAGGCCCCGGAGAAAACCCACGAGGTTGGACAGGCGAACCTACTCCTTGCCACGCACAACCGGGGATTCGAAACCACGCCAGTCGACTCAATGACAGACTTTATGATACAGCGCGCGCACGCTAACCATTCAGCCATCCAACCCCCTTCTTTCTTGAGAGACTCGAGAATCGTTTGGGCACCCCAGTCGGACTTTGTTGGTCGAACAAAGCGGACCCAGAATGACTTGGAACAGTTCTAATGTAATATTCTTGAATGCGATGTAGAGCCTGGTAAAATATCGATATAAATCAATAATATCGACTAGACGTGCCAAAAAACACAATTGGTAGCGGTATGTTACTATCGATTATCGATCTCTTCGTCTATTTTTCGACTCGATGTTTTCTGTGAGTTAATCTAATAATAATAATACAAATACATCGACCACTTTAACTACTTCAAAGTATCAATGTAGCATTTAAAAAATGTTAAAATAAATTCTCCCTCATTTAAACAATACTTTGAGTTTGAAACAATTTTTGTTGAATCGCTATATCGTGGAATTCGCCAAATCGGAGATACCCGGAGTTTTTCCCCTTTCAGAATTCGTCTGCTCAGTATTATAATAAAGTACAAATGATATAGCACTCATGGATGCCAAAAAAGCTTGTATTTCTTCATTCGGAATCAAGGCTACATTATTTTAATAATAAACAATTTACGAATTCGTGATAACAAGCTCTTTATTAATTTTTCTCTAGTTTTGGCATGCGAATCGACACGAATAGACGCCATATTGGTATCTGTCGCGCTCACGTACGCAATGTTTTGAAGCGACTCGTGTTCATTTTATTTTGGTTCCTCCACATACATATAAACATTATTTCTTCATTTGGAACCAAGGCTACATTATTTTAAAAATAAACAACATTACGTAATAGGAGAAAATGTATTATTAATTAGATGGGTTTGACTTTTAAACACGTAATTCAGTCTTGATTACGACCGCAAAAACAACTATCAATTATCGATCAACATTTGAATGCCGATTATCGATAGTAAAAATCATTATCGATACCCAGCACTAGTCAGCACATATAGAGAATCTCCTACCAGTCTTTTCTGATATCAAAAAATATCAACACAAGTTGATAAAGTAACAAAAAACGAGGTTCTGTCGAGTTTTTTTTACTTTATCAACGAGTGTTGATATTTTTTGATATCAAAAAAGACGAGTAGGAGATTTTATTTATCACCCAATCCCTTCTTACATGCACAAATAGATAAATATAATTCTTTGCTGTAGATTTCACTTTTACTGAACATTACGGCGTAGTGATACATCATTTTTTGACAGCAATTCAACCATTGCAAAGTCCTTTATATTGACCCAGTGTTTCCATCAAGGTCAATTGAATAACAATAGTTCATTTTTTATAAAACAAAAGGTACTTTTAATAAGAAATGAACTGTTCTTTGAAAATAAAAAAAGTAGTTCCTTTCCAACTGACCAATCAAATTCATGTAAAGCGATAGAATGTATTATTGGGTGATAAATTGATATATATATAATAGCAAGGTATATAAACTAATGTATATTAATTTTTTTGAAGAATTATTGTAATTTCTAATCAATTATGTTTGTTGAAATACGTGAGTTCAATTGAAGCCCATTTGTTTTAAAATCATAATGTGATTTGTAAATCAGCCCTTAGTTTGAGCAGGGGAGGGTTCGGGTGGAGAAAACATCAAGTTTGACGTGAGGTTTGGAGGATTATATTTTATAAAATCAGAAGCTCTGAGACAATATTTCTACTCATTTAGGTGGTGCATATAAAGGATTAGAGTGGAGTGAGGATAAAACAGCGGCAATGCTTCACATGTTTGTTTATTCGTCGTTGTTTCAATGAATGTAGGAGAAATAAATTATGCTCTGCATAACCCGCCCCCACCCTCTGTGGACACGTGTCTCCCCCCCCCACCCCGATATACACCACTCCCTAACATCACCACCAGCATCACACACACACACACACACTCACGCATTACTTCTAGGCTATGTATTATAGTTTCAGAATATCGGAAAAGGTTGATCCGGCGAATATGAAAGTATAATTAGAGGTAAAAAATATAGAGAAAAAAATTAGATTAATACAAGCGGATTTCTGCACTATAATTGCATACAGTATTATAAACGAACTGTTTTGTGTTTTTCTATAGATCTTATGAAAGATCAACCCATAACTGGAGATTTCTGGATGCCATTTCCCTTCTTTTGTTCGATGTGTAGAGAGATTAAATATAAAGGAACACTAACTAAATCAATAAGAATGACTGATTAAGGTACATCTATAAGTTGGTCTATTTCAGGGGAGGGAGGGGGCGAATGGTTAGCGCATGCACGTTGTATCATAAGGTCTGTTATTGATTCAACTGGTGTGGTTTCTATTCCACGATTGTACGTGACAAGGAGTAGGGTCGCCTGTCCATCCCCGTGGGTTTTCAACGGGTCCTCCGACTGCTAAAGACCCCTACGCACAAGCGAATTTATTGAAATAAAATTGAACCATATGTTAGTCCCGAAATGACCCAGTTTGTGTCGAGTGAACGTTAAACCCCATCTCTCTCTCTCTCTGGTCTATTGCAGGGGCTAGGGAGGGGTATGTCGGTAGAGTAGCCGCAGGTATAGGAGCGGACACAAAGAGGGGAGGTGGTGGTTCCCCGTTTGCTATTGGCAAATTCTTTTCTAAAATAATTATTGGCTGTCGGAACGAAACAATCGTGTGTTCTTTTCGGGTCTGGGGTATTTTAGATGAAAACTCAGAAAAGACCTGGGACGTAAATGAAATGAAATGGAGTTTAAGGTCCTACTGTTCTGCTCCGACTGGGTTAATGAAGTCCGGCATAGGCCATGCAGAGGGCTATGAGTGAAATTGTGCCCGGGCCTACTGTTATATCGAATCCCAACTGCCAAGAGATCTTTTACGTGCACGCAATGTATACACTGGACCTCGGTTTTTCGTCTCACCGAATGACTATAGACAGCTGCTCTCATCTTAGAACAACGCCCTGGGAGGGGCATTTAGAGATGTGTTACTCTGAAGGTGACCAAACTTTATTAATCTATGACTTTATGAAGTTATTCAAGTTGCTTCATAAATTCCCAGTATATACCTCACCCCCTTCTCCCCCGTCTTCCTTCAACATAGTTGAGAATACCAACTTATGATTATTGATCAAATTATAAAACACTTTAACTGGAAATTAATTAGCAGGTATTTAAAAGTAGTGATAGGTTTAATGATAACACAAAAGCTACGCTTTGAAACTTGAGTAAAGGCTTTAAACAATAAGGAAATTTGATTAATAAAAGATAAAATATTAACGTAGGTGTATGAAAGCAAAAGAATCTAATTCATCAAAATATAATAAGAATGACTCAACAAACAGTCAGTGGTCCACGTTATGATGACCGTTTTATTTCCAATTCATTTATTAAATTTAATTGATACAATTTATTAGAATGCAGGCTATGTAGTGAGGAATGGTTACATAAGCAAGAATTAACAATTCCAGAATAAATCAAATTGACAGACACATTTAATATTCTTCTGAAAAGTTGTTAGGAGGGTCGATAGAAAATGACTTTCCTTAATTCCCGGTAATTTTAACTGGTATAACACCGAGTGAATAAGAAACATTCAGAGCATTTAGCTCATTTACAAATAAAGTTTTATGAAGAGACCAGATGTTTATAGCACTTATAGTGCTTTGCAAGCTTTATGTAACGCATCGGAACTTTTATCTCGCCACAACCGGTCAGAGCACAATCAAATTTATCTCACGATGTTACTGTAAAAGCTAAAGTTCTCTGGTTATAAGTCTTAAAATGAAACAAACACTGTATTAGATGTATAGCAAGTTTATGAGGACTCTACTAGATGTCTTCCTTTTATAGCTACATTATGCATTCCTAGCAACTAGTTTATAGCAACCAATTTAGTTAAACACTAATTAAAGTTTATTGTTTGTAACTTAAGACGCAGCCCTCACAATACTTGCTAATACTCTAATACAGCTTATACCAGAATTCATCTAATTAAGGTAGCGTTTAGAATAATCTTTAAAACAACAAGAGGGATTATAAGATTTAAAATTTACAATAAAATACTAACTATTACATTACTTCGAGCCAAAAAGAACAGGCTATACTTCTGAAAATCATCCAATCTTACAAACTGACTTCAACTTCCACGTGTAAACCATTAATTCTTAGTTGGCAAATTGGAGAACATCAAAATCCGATGTCTTTCTGGCAAAAATTCGACAGTGAAAACACAACTTTAGATAATGGCAGGCGTATGACTCCTCCATGCATATTCAACTCAACCGGACGCATTTATGCTTATTCAAATTTATAGAACCACAGTTGCATGAACCTGTGGAGTTGGGGTATGTCAGGGCACGGTACCTTGATTGGGCACATTTAGGTATTTGAGACTTTCTCATAAACTACTTCAAAGATTTCATCCAAACATTTTTGGTTTTAGATCATGTTGGTAGGGGTTGGACAGTTTGAATTTGGTCATATCATAATATGACGTTTTGTTTGATTAAATGAAAAAAAATAAGAATGGTACAAGGCTTTATGTTGTCGACATTCAGTCCTTATTTTTTAAAATTTAGATAAGTAAAATATATTTGATCAGTTTTAAACAATTTTTTCGACTTGCATGCTTATGTAGGAGCACTGGACAAGATTACCATCATATGGCCATTTAGGACGATCTTTAGAAGTTAATGAATAAGCTGTATTATTTAGGGTATACCACCAGCCTCCATCAGTTCCTGGAGGTTGACCAGGACAAGATCCCCTCTCGTCATAGGCACAGAAGGGCATGGGACCCTTTCCGGCGCCGAGACCATCGCTGTTGTCTGGAGCGGGATACATCCCTGTATTCCTACTAGCATATTGTTTAGCTTCACCACCAACTTTAAAGTCATGGTAAAAGACGCTAAATTCCGCAGTATCAGAATACGGGTAACAGTAAATCTGAAGTTTGAATTCCGTGCCAGGTTGATTTAGTAGAGCGTGCATGCCTTCGAGTCCGCACCAGAAGTCTTCACCATAACCAAAGGAATATTTGTACTCGTTCATGGTTCTGACGAAATTTGTGTTCAAATTGAATCGTCTGGCCACCAAGATTGACATACCAAACACAGAATTACAAAGAATCTCGAAAGCAAACTCCGAGTTCATTGGTTTGACCATGAATGCCAAAATACCCAAATTCGATATACCAAGGTCCTTCCCTTCCTTGCAATCTGAAATGATAATTTATCACATTATAGTCTGAGTCAAACGACATATAAACAGGTGAGAGGCCGACGATTCTAACACACGAAGCCTAATAATCAGCGAACGGGGATGTAAATCACCTTAGATAATGACTGAACGGATTGCCTGTCTATATTGATTAAGACTAGTAATTGTTCCCTTTCGGTCAGTCCTAATTATACCGTTTATCCTTTTCTCCATCTGATTTCTTTTGCATGTAGACGAAAACAAAGAATGGTTTTAAATAGACGAAATACAAACGAATTATTAAACCCTATGGGATTGTGAGTTATCGCCCTGGAGCCTTTTTCACCAAATTTTAACTAAGATAAAATCCAAATTTTAGTAATTTGATTGGATAATATTAAATTGATGTTAGTGCTTAGCCAATCAAAATTGAAGTATCTACTATAATTTGGTTTTTATCTTTAGTTAAAATGTCGTGAAACAGGCCCCTGATATATGTTATGCGAGTAACAACATCCGTCAAGTCCGATCGCGTCCTTTGTATCCACCGTGATGGTCGGAGATTGTTTTGATACAGTCTTTTCCGGATTCATCCGTCGAGCTCGGAATAATGACCAGATTATCAAACACGGTGATTTTACCCAGAAAATGGTTAACGGTATTGGATTTATTAAAAGAAGACCAAACTTTTTCAAATTTCAACCAATTACATATAGCTAACAAGGAAGCTGAAAAAGTAGCAGATGGCTTAAAGCGGTAGTAGCCTACAGATTAGGAGGAGGGAGTTCTATAGAGTCTTTCAGTTGATCTACCGATGAGCTCATTTAACAAGATATCGATCCTTTTAAATACAATAAATTGTGTTGATTTGCTTTTTGGGCTAACAATCTGTATCCTTTGAAATTTTACGCCAATAGTGTTGAGGTATAATCGACACTGAATTTCCTGAGCAAAATCTACTTCTGCTTATTGTAATCAAAATAACACACCAGATCAACACGATTCAACACTTTTCAAACCTAACTCAAAGATTTTTAGGCCCCTTTAACACGGGGTTGCCAGTCAACAAATATAATCCAACCATCAGCTTCTATGCTGATAACAGAACTCTGTGGCTCTTAGTCCCAATCTTATTAAAATACAGATATATATTTCGATGGCCTCCTCTACATGAAGATCCCACCGATTGTAGTGGGCTGTCGAGTCATTCGATTAACCAATCAGCTTCCGGATTTCAAGTGGGTATTCGGAAATACAACTTTTTCTTTGAATTTCTTTCTTCTTCTATCGCGTCGAATGTCTACCTACAGTTCCGCACACCACACTCCATTGGATTGGCTAATCTCCGAGGATGCTGCAATAAAAACTCTTACAGCTCCTTGTGTAGTGAAGACAACTAAAACGAAATTTTGAGCTACAAAAAAAAACCGAAACAAAATAGGATCTGTGTAAATCTGATTAAAATACAGATTTATATTTCGTTTCGTTTTCTATACTTTCGATGGCCTCTACTACATGAAGATTTGACAAGTTGTACTCGAAGGTCGTGTCAGGGGTCGTACGAGCGGCTTTTGACCCTATGACGTAAGATATTGATTAATCAATCGGCGTTGGCGTTTCTAGTGGTTTACCCACAGTTCCGTGCACGGCACAACAAGAAGTTGCCGTAACAGACTGTTTCATTGGCTAATTTCTCACATCTATAGGAACGTGGGTTTTATAACAACTCTTCCAGATCCTAGTGTAGTAAAGACAAGTAAAACGAAATTTTGAACTATAAAAAACGAAACGAAATAGGATCTGTGTTTTAATCAAATTGAATCTATGTTTAAAAAGATTGCCCGAAACTCCATATAAAAGCATCTTATTGTCGTTAGAAGGTGGCGGTTTTTTATCACCGAAGCCACTACTTTTTTTCTCTCAGAAAACACGTGTTTTGTATCAAAGAAAGCAACGGTAAAATATTCAATGTAGGTTTTGAAAATGTTTTTAGATGTCCCAAGAGTGCCTTTGTGAATTGACGGAAAGCCCCGGAGTAATTAACTGATTCTTGGAACTATTCCAGATGAATCAACAAATTGTGAGAAACATGTTAACAGATATTTTCACCATGGATATTGAATCGCATGAGTGCTCTATCTACAGATTCTAAAATATCGATCGATGATGAAGGAACCAACCGTTTCCAGGTCATTAAATTGACTTATTGAAAGGAATTAAGCATGTGGAAAACTTTTGAGATGCGGTGTTAAAAATACATTATGTAAGATTTAGATAAAGATTGATAGTTCTCGCTACAATAGTTGAAAAATAGATAACGACAAATGAATATGCATGTATTGAAAATTTCATTCAAATTGCTTCATTTGAACGGTTTTTAAAATCAAATAAAAAATTGCCATAATCTGAGAAGTTACATGTTCGTCAAGATACTATATTTTAAAAGCCATGTTGTTACTTAATTAGGGGGCGGGGGGGGGGGGGTCCATTTACAGATAAATTTATCGTTACTAACTTTCCATTTACCATACATATTGAAGCCTAAGTAAATTCTTGGGTTATCTTCTGTCAATTTCTTTTTCCGCCATACGTCTGCTGTACTTTAATTTAAACCACTCAATGGTCCCTCAAACCGTCTAATAACAAATAACAACTGCTCTCTAAGTCAATCTAACAGACAATAACCCGTCGGGTTGACAGTTAGTGATACCATGGGTGTCTTTCAGGGAATCCAGCATTTTTCTAGTAAGATTAGGTGTCTCTACTTTCCATATATTATATTACCAAATTTGTGATACTTTTATTGGAAATAACAACCCGATAAATACTTTCGTGGGAATGTATCTTTAAGTTTCATCAAAATCGGGCCAAAATTGTGATCTCTAGAGGGTCTCCAATCTTGGTATTTTTTAACTATTTTTGAGCGAGGTGCGCACATTTTGTCGACCAATTTCGTTCTGATATTCAAAAGCAACTATTATTACGGTATAACGGTCACATATTTCAACCTTTTTCGAATATCGAAATTGGATAAATAATTATGACCTCTAGAGGGTCCACAAGCTAAGAAACATGATTTTTGCGTACAATCATGGACTATAATCCATGGCGTTATGGTCCGATATGCGCGAATATCGAAAGGAACCAAGATCTTTGGGATGTAAACATATATTTTTATCTTCATCAAAATCGGATCACAATTGTGACCTCTAGAGCGTCCATAATCTTGGTGTTACATACTTTTATAATATTTACGTACGAGGAGCGGCCATTTTGTAGGGCAATTTCGGTCCGATTTTCATAAAATTTGACCTTAATCATCATTACGTAGTAACGGTGATATATTTAAACGGTTGTTAACATCGGATACAAATTGTGATCTCTAGAGGGTCCACAAGCTAAAGGACGCAATTTTTCGTACATGAAAGTTATAGTTCATCCGATATACACGAATATTGAAAGGAACCAAGATCTTTGGGTTGTAAAAATACATTTTAAGTTTCATCAAAATCGGATAACAATTGTGACCTCTAGAGTGTCCCCAAGCTAATAACGTGATTGTTCGTACAGTCAGGAGCAATAAGAAGTTACGATCCGTGGGTAAAGTTTCGAAAAAATCGGATAGAAATTGTGACCTGTAGAGTGTTCACAAACAAAATATGAACGGACACGCGGACGCACAGACGGACAGGGAAACGACAATATATGTCCACATGGAAATGTCGGCGTATAATATTAAATATTAATGTCTTAAACAAGTTTTCGCTAGTATGGCGACACTTCCGGTGACATTAAAGAATTTTTATTGATTTGATATAATCAACATTAGCAAACGTCGTCAATTATTGAATATTTATGAAAACTGAACAATTATTAACACTTTTACTTATGACGTAAAGGAACTTGTACAAAATGTTCTATTGCCTGGAAATAACTACAATTCGTGATTTAATTTCGATCGTTATAATAACGCTGAATATTTATGGTAGTCATAATGAATTTTTGAACAATTAAACAGCTATATGCCTTTTCAAAATGGTAATTGTTTCAACCTTTTTAGTCAAAATGGCGGGAGAATGAAGTTAAAAATTCGATTACCAGCATTCTGTGCGCATTGACGAGATGTATCCAACAGACATATAAGTTCCATTTATGTAAATAATTAGCCTGCCATCCAATTGTTTTACCGAAAAGGTCAAAATACAATTTAAATCAAATTTCCTATAATCAATTATTTTGACTCACTCAGTTTATCGACTGAGAACGCTAGGGAAGATAGCCCTCCGTAAATTTGGCTTGTGTAATTGTTTGTGTGTGATGCAGTTCCCCTGCACTTACTATTAGACTAAAATGTTTTTGTATTCGCATAAAAATGATCTATATGACCTAAAACTTGAATTTTAAATTTTGATAAAGTAAAAATGCTTTTAGCAAAATGTTAAAATTTAAAAATTAAAGAGATAAAATTTCGAAATCACAAAATCTGAAATTGTAAAGATTTTTTCCCTGAAAACTGGCTATCCTAAAATGTTTGCAAAATTCGAGGTCAATAAATGTTTCTCATAAGACTTAAGCCTTCTGTAAAGTTTACCTTACCATAAATATATCTTTCACATGTGGCGCCAGCGAATCCAAGTCTACAGACACACCCAGAACCATCACGTGAGGCACCATTATAACATCCATTTTCTAGAGGACTTGATTCATTATCCTTCTGCAGATATATTAAAAACAGTTAGATGTTTTTGGTAAAAAAGAAATACTTTGTATCGGGAGTTTTTTTTATCTCTGGGTGTGATTTGAGTGACATAGGAAGCCCTTACAAACTACAATATTGCAAAAGTTGAATTTCTAATAGGAATAACAGTCCCAAAATGGACCTATTCCGATCGATATTTACAAAAATATAATGTACCGAAATTCTATGCAGCCTCTTATGTAAAACGTATACATTTACTTTTTCTATTTCTCTCTTCTCGCTTCTATTTCTTGACAGAATCTGTCGACAGAACAGATTTTTTCGACGTGGAATTTTCTGAAATTTTGCGATCTATGTAGTAGGTTGCTTAATCGCCAGTAAACAAGTCTTTATATTGTCGGATGACGTCATGATATAATTAATTCGCCTGTCGCCATCTTAACTGGTTCGTGAATCCAATTGGTGTGATAGAATACATAACTCTTATTTATTAAAAGATATTTTAATACTGGATAACATATTAACAGGTACATAACAACATCATTTGGTTGGGTAAAGTTACGTCTAGCTATAGCTGCTTCCCCTCGGCCTCACAGGACCCCTCTGCCCGGTGTCGAGGGCAGACCCTCTCCCGAGGTCCGGGTGACCTCTCAGCCTCTACGGGTCTCTCTTGTCCCTCCTTTGTACTTCTCCCCTGCTGCTTGTAAACTAGGCTTTTTATATCGGTTAAGGCACGCCATAGTTAATACCATTAGTAATCAGGACAATGAAAAGTAATTATTAAGATTCACACATCTTACCTCAAGACAAAAGGTGTCAATACGTGTTAAGCCTGAATCTTATATCATATAGACACTCCGAGTATACATGTTTGTACAATCCATTAAATCTTACATAATACTATTTCAACAACCTACACCTGATATATAGATTAAATCTTACAATTAATCTGTCACTTAATATATGTCTAAAATTGAGTTACAAATAAAATCTGAATTAAGAATACAATATTGAAATTTAGATCCCAAATGATACTGTATTTTGATCATGGAATAGACCGCGGTGCACCTTTCAAAATTTTATACAATACATTTAGTACATGGAAATGGACATATTTGTTGTAGTAAATGGACATGTGGTATGCTATGTTCCCACTAACACGATTCGCGCTACGATTGAAATAGTGGTTTTAATCGTGATGATCCTATTAGGTCTTGTCATATATTGTTGTCAGTCGTAGCAATCGTGTGGATCGTATCGAAACATATCTGAACGTATCAGCACGTACCAGATCGTGGGCGCAATAGGGACAAACCTATTATAACGCATCACACGACAGTGGGAAACTAGCATACATGGACATTCGGTACAATAAATGGGGCTTTAGTATAGTAATCAACGACTGGTCAGTAAAACGACAATTGATTGTTATGAGGGAAAATTTGTTTCTAAAGGGGGGGGGGGGGGCTAGTTCAGAGAAGGGACGTTAAGTTTTAGGGAAAGTTGGTTCTATAGAGCTAGTTTTAGTTCTATAAATGGAAATTTGGTATAAAGATGATTAGATTGTTTATAATCTGAACTAAGGGAATATATTTTACCTTGATTAACATGCGGACTTGGATTGTCTCCACCGTAGGAAAACTGTTACATTCTAGACCATAGATACCATCGTGTAGATTACATTGATGACGGGTTGGGGATTCTTTATAGATAGTAACAGCTCGGCACCATTTAAAGCGACTACAATACATGGCACATAAAATCCTTCTTTTAGTGTAGGTCGTTTTCTGTATTCTACTTCCAGCATAATGATTCTTACAGACTATGTAATCATCTAGTATAGTCTCAGAGTTCGAGTCCACCTTGGCCGTAGTCATAATTATCCAACACGCAATCACAAGTGATTTCATTTTAGCTTGACAATTTTATGTTTCAAGTTAATAGAAAATACCACATGCCGCAAAACACAGAGGAGAATAAAAAACAAAGCACCGAACCAAAACGTCAAAACATTTTTCTTGACTAAAGCTTCTGGAAATCCAAGTTTCTTTCAAACTGGCCCACTTAATAACATATTTATTCAAAGGATAGACCTCTTTAAGAAGTTTCCCGTGTGAATACTCCAGAAAAATTATCGCGATCTAATTATGAGAAATTGATTCCTGTTTCAGCCCTTCCGCGTCTTTCAAAGTTAACACTTCAAACTACCACACACATTCCTTCAATACCCTCTCAGACAAAAATCGTTAATTATGTAATATAAAACCGTTTTTGTTTGAATAAAGACCCTGAGTTTTGCTGCTTGATTTTTCTGCACCAAGCTTATTCCTTTTCATAATATTTCTATTTGATTCTTGTATGATTCTAATCTCCAAGGATTTCCTAATACACCATACAATCATTACTTGTCATCATTCTTTTGTTTTACTATTAATCAACATCAAACAAATAACCTGCCATATAATAAATTGATTATCTTAGATATTTCAATTTACCAAATAACCAGCCGTATAATCTATTGTTTAAAAAAAAAAGGTTTTACGCCTACATCACTTTCTATATACTCTCTTAATTAAAAATGTGTCGCAAAAATGAATGTCTTGTCCTCCAGTTCTAACAGTAGATAATTTTTAGCGTCTTTCTCGACTCCCCTCGATCGTCAGTACAGATCCGTATAACGATTCTTTCTTTAAACTCAGATATCTCATTGGCTGTAGGTGCTACCGCCCTAATATAAATTATTACACGAGATGACGTTATAAACAGAATCTCGGATTCTTAAGGTAATTGGTGTGACGTTGTATTATGTGAATATTTATTGAATAAAGATTCTTAGAAAAATAAAAGATCACAAATTTTCTCAAAATTGGATTACATGATGTTATAGTTTATATATAGTGCATATTTTTATTTATTGAGAATTTGGATATTTTTGATACAATGCTAGTGGATATGTTTATTGAGAATTTGGATACCGTATATCTATTTAATGGTGTTCTTGATATTCGATCCCTGCATTGGCCGAGATAGTTCATCGTAATTTTCCGGCGTGGTTTCCCCTTGTCAGTGGTGCAGGACGGAAGGTCTGACAAGGATAGTTGTCTAGTCGTATACATTGACGTACACGTAAAAGATCCCTTGGCAGTTGGAATTCGATATAAGAGTAAGCCATAGTGCCGCTTCCCGGACAAAATGTCCCTCATATAGCACACTGTATGGCTTATGCCCATCTTCACGTCTTCATTAGCCCAGTCGGAGCAGAGCAGTAGGACGTTAAACCCCATTTCATTTCAGTTCATTTCATTTTATTCTTGATATTTCAGAAACAGAATATACACTGCAACAATGTCTGTTTTTAAATCCCTACTTTTTGTTATTTTTTTCTGTAAATGTAGTTTTTCAGTCATGAATTTAATTTTTTTAAACAAATAAACAGAAATTAAAGAGCAAGAAATCTTACGTGGCTTCAAATTTTGTGATTTCTGAAAGCTAGTTTTATTACTTTCTACTGTATCTTCTTCTTCTTGCAAATTTTTCTTTATCTTCAATACAAACCTGAAACAAAATATTGTTTACGTGGTCGACTTCAAATATTTCTACAAAATACATTTGCATGGCCTCTATTGTATTGATCACAGATTCCAAACATAACAACCAGCAAACTAAACAGAGAGTACAGAGGTTGTGTCTTTAAATCTAATAACATATGCTTCTATCTACACTGTAAAAAAACCAGCAAAATTTCTGGCAGCAGATTTACCAGCATGTTTCTGTTGAAAAACAGGTAAAATTACAGGAAAAAAAAATTATTTTGTTTAAATATAAAACAAAATCATCTGTAAAAAATAATTTATTTTTGTATATTACGGGCCCTTTACTTATGGCGGTGAATGTTCGAATATGCGCTGAAGATGCAGAAAAAAGAACAGAGGGAAATCAACATATAAGCGTGAAGGTAAGTCTTCCTGCGAATATGTATGTGTGAAGGCAAATCTACATAGGTAGATACTGAGTATGTTATTGGATTTAAAGACACAGCCTCTGTACTGTGTGTTTAGTTTGCTGCTTTGTTATGTTTGGAATCTTGATAACCTTCTTGTTTTTGCTTTTCTTTGGACGATCAAAAGTAGTCTAAAGATCGAGCACGACTGACATGAAGCCCGTGTTTATTCCATTGATTGATGTACTCGACTTTTGAAATAAAGTCTTTATACTTGATGTATTTTAAAATAATGTTGTGTTTTTCCGTGATTCCCACGTTTTGATACTTGCTATAAGAATAAGGAAGGGGATTGATTCGATGCGCTATTTTGTAACTTCCTGATAATAGGGGATGTAATTGACTCAATACGTTATATTGTAATCTCCGCGAACTTAACCAATTTATACCAGTCATACACCCTGCACGTTTCAAGTCAGCAGCTTGAAGCGTATATATGGTATTAGTGTCAGTGGCTTGTGGCACGAAGTAACAGTATATTGTCGCATACATAATATATTATGTCAACGCTTGGGCGACATAATATATTGTGTTGACGCTCCAAGCGTGTTAGCATATTAGACCTGTAGACTCAGTGGAATGTACGCGTCATCAGAGCGGATCCAGGGGTTGGACCATGGGGACCGGTCCACCCCCTTAACAATAGAAAGTGTCCCTGTAAATAAAAGAGGGCATCCTTATCAGAAAAAGGGCACCTGTGATGTCAGAATTTCAAAAAAGGGCACTTTTCTTTCGGATTAGGGTTAGGGTTAGGGTTAGGGTTAGGACACAGAAAAGAGAGAAAAAACAGAAAAGAAAAAAACAATCGAAACTTACCGATTCCATGATGGAAAATACCGCCAAAATATGTCTCCAAAGCATTCATTGGTTATCAAAGCGCCAATTAAATCTATCGTTGCAAGTTCATGCCTAGTCACCTCCATCCTAGTTCCAAGCGTTGACATAATATATTATATCGCCCAAGCGTTGACATAATATATTATGTATGCGACAATATACTGTTACTTCGTGCCACAGGCCACTGACACTAATACCATATATACGCTTCAAGCTACTGACTTGAAACGTATCGCCTTAGTCATATGCATTTTACGTACAATATCAAATTTCTCATGGCTTAATCCACACTAATGATGATTTAAAATTTAATTTCGAAAACAGAGCGGTAGATAATCTCCGTGTTGGGGTTGAATTGGATTAAAAGAGGTCGATTAAAAGATTTTAGGTGGCGCTGATCTGTTTTGACCCTAAACCGTGTAAATATCGTCTGCAAAGGATGCCGAATGTTGCGTAATTTTCAATTCATTATATCTATATTGATCGGAGCTGAACCATTGTGGGACTGATATTGAACATTAGAGATTGAACTTTCAAGATATTGTAGCTTGCAACAGATTACAAATAAGAGCCCCCCCCCCCCTTCCCGTTCAGATGATGAGCAGTGACTTTAAATAACATGCTTTCTTTTATTTCCGTGACATTTTTTTAAGGAATTACTCGGATAAGTACGATTTTAACGAATCTAGTAAAATACTCGTCTGTGTATGACGTATATTCATAGATAGAGAATAATAAACGAGAATATATACGTTTTCTTTACACAAGATCAACCCAATACTTGTTTATTTAAATTGAATCATTAATCTACTTTTATATAAATAGTTTAGTCGACTGAAAAAATGTGCTATTGTTACGACGATGCTTTTTTTCACAGCCCTCCATCGGCGAAGTTAAAAACTCAATAGACGTAAAAATAGTTCTAACCCTAACCCTTCCCATCTCTTAATTGCTGCCTTCAGTTCTGAAAACGTTGAAAATACTGCTTCTTTTTCAAAGCTGGTGTTGGGGAGATTGGCAGCCATTTTGGAATTCGTTCTAACAATAGCCACTGTGTTTATTAATAGTATTTTATATCACATCACTCGTGGAAGTCAGGTGGTAAGGGGTCGTGGTAGTCGGGTGGTAAGGGGCCGTGGTAATCGGGTGGTAATGGAAATGGACGCTCGACTAGAATAGTCCAGATTTTCAAAGCCCTCTTCCCACGCAAGTAACGTGTAATCTAGTCGTTCGGATGGGACAAAAAACTGAGATCCACCAATGTACACGTTGGCATGCTCTTAAAATAATCTTTGACCGATCAGCCGGAAAGGCCACTAACCGGCCAAAATTCTCATAGCACGGGATGCATGACCCTTAAAAAGTCTGAAACAGTAAGTGCAGGTGGACAAACCTTCAGACAAGACAAATTACACAGACATGGCAAGAAATGTATTGATTTGTTGACACATTGAAACAACAAAAAACACAAACCAAAATAAAGTGACTTATTGTTCTTCTACTAAGAAATCCATGTTTAGAAACATCACCAAATATATTAATGGAGAAAAATCATGTCTGAAGAAGTACTGGAATAAATGATTATTGTCCAGAAAACAATTCATCTGAGTTACTGAGTAGTCTATTAGTTTAGAAAAGATTATTTTATAGTCTTATAGACAGTACTTTATATAAGTCTGAAACGTCACGACTCGTGGCACAGCTTTTCAACAAAACCACGTACACCATGGATTTTTTTTTAAATTAAAACATGCCTTGTATTGATTTATTGTGAGCAAAATGAATTATATGAAGACAAATATTATTTGTTTATTGAAAACCTGAAATTTCCTCAGGATATTCCACTTGTCAGTGGTGCTGGAAGGAGGCCATGACAAAGACGGATGTCTTGGACGAAAAACCGAGGTCCCGTGGAATTCGATTTAAGAGTAGGCCGTAACGCCGATGACCTGTTAAAATTTCCCACATAGCACACTGTATGGTGTATGCCCGTCTTCATTAGTCCAATCGGAGTAGAATAGTAGGACTTTAAACCCCATTTCATTTCATTTTATTCTTGATATAATCCTGTATATTTCAAACTTTGATAAATATTTCAGAAACAGAAATGGATGACTCATTCATTTGTAATACACTGTCGTATTAAACATACACACATTCCCTCCTTCGAGTTTAATCAGGTCTTCTATTCAACCAATAAAACATCTAAAGGTTTAATATTTCTAATATTTCTAATCGTTATGAAAAATGAAATTATCGTCTCGAATTGCAAAGTAACACACGTTACAACTAATGAAATATTGACTTGCATCCAGTATTATAACGAAACAGAATAATACATCAATATTTTAATATGGCCGTGATATTCCCTAGGATAGAAATCTGTTGTCAAGATAGGTGGTTCTCTGTGTTCAGAATGTTGCGAAACAAGATCTGTGGACTTTCCAAGCAGAAGAATTCTATTGATATCCAAGTAACGCTGACAGTGTTATATACCTTTAATAGACTTAATATGACATCTAAATCTTTTCTTTCATCGCCAGTAAATAAGTTTTCAATCGTCAGTGGGAATTGGGAATGGAACGTTTGTCTTTCATCTATACCCTATAATACTTGCATTATCAATACTAAATGTTTCCGACGTGGATTCCCCTTGTCAGTGGTTCAGGACGAAGGGTCTAACGAGGACAGCTGTCTAGTCTTTCGGATGGTACGAAAAACCGAGGTCCCGTGTACACATTGGTGTGCACGTAAAAGATCCCGTGGCAGTTGGAATTCGATATAAGAGTAGGTCATGGCGCCGCTGCCCGGGCACAATTTCACTCGTACTGTATGGCGTATGCCTGTCTTCATTAATCCAGTCGGAGCAGAACAGTAGGACGTTAAACCCTATTTCATTTCATTTCATTTCATCAATAAGTATTAAACTTTCTTATGAGTGACATAAAACGTCTGGAAACATTCTTGAAACAATGAGTCAATTCAAGTCCCGGGTTAAGGTTGTGTTAAGGTTGTGTTAAGGTTGTGTTGTAGTGGTGTATAACTGATGTTATTTTTTATGCTTTAACCTGAACCTTTAACACTGGTGTTTGCACCAGTTAATGCACTAGTTTAATACCAATGATGAAAATAAAAAAAAAAAAAAACCACAACACTAGTGTTACTTTTAAATGTTTCACCATTTGTATCTTGTCCCAATACATCCAATTCTTTTCTGATCACCATCGTGTTGCAGATGCGAAAAACTTGTGACCTTGGACAAAATTATTAATTGCATACAAATAGCTAACTAGTAAGATAGATGTATATAGATAAACATGAAGTCATCTATAAGCTGCATTTCCCAATACTAAAATATTAGGTTGTATATTGTTTAAATACTTTAAAAACTGAGCTGGCCAGTCTGCTACAGTTTGGTCATGTGTAGCGCCGGGGATACCGCGTATGATGTATCTCACAACTCATCTCCGGTCCACAATATTGAACTTCGGGGTATTACCATGTTCCTGAAGCAACGACTACGAGTTTCACAACATCTGGACGTTGCTTGTTTACTTCACAATTCCCGAACTTATGGCTATGTTATCTACAGACACATGAGCAGTGGCGTCCAATCAGAGGTTGTGACATCCCGACTTTCACGGAAACCTTGACATTGAATGAACCTTGAACTTTGCAACTCGATTATCACAGGTAGACATTTTAGCTTGAAAGCGCGAGACTTGGTATTCGCGACGATCGAGGAATCTGATAGGCTCACAAGCTGGGCTTGTACCCAATCGAAATTAGTGCCGAAATATACAGGGTATTACGTGAAGGCCTTGATAAGGTGTACGTGGTTAAAGCGAGATCAAGCCTTCATTGAAGATGCGGTATTACACGATTTACCACTTTAGCTAAAAAAGAAAGTATCTCTAGCATGAGACGGACATTTTATTTTAAACATGTATTATGCAAGAGCTAAATCTGCCTAATGCAGGTCTTGCTTTAGGCCTGAAATGTTATCTAAATTATTAATTAGACATTAATTAACTTATCCAGACCGTAATCATCTCTCGATGCTAGTGCTAGCCTGTGATATTTAGCGGATTGGAATACAACTTTTGAAAAATAATTAAACGTTAAAATGGATAATCGAGACTTTGTTTTTTTATCGTACCGACTTTACTAATGATGGTCGAGGCTAGGCTAAAAATTCAATCACTAATATCTCGGTTCAGCGTAGAACAATTTGACTGAAATATTCACCATTCTATTTACGTTATCTATTATAACGAGAACTGGCAACTCTTTATCTAATCCCATCTCCCTAAATTTAGCACGTAGACCAACCAACATGCACACAGGCAGAAAAAATATGAAAATTCCGAGAAAAACTTATCAAAAATAATGATTCAATTCCAGTCTTTATCATGGTTAAAATCACATCAAATATACACATTAATGTTCTTGAATAAACATAGATTCATAACAACACCACGACACAACATTTCGGCGCCTAAAAATAGGAAAAAAAGACAGTAAACAGACATTTGATATTATACGGACCTTTTCCGTATGAAAGCTGTTCGATACGTGCTGCCGTATCCGTGTGCCGTATCACGTATGAGAAATACACACACATTGATGACATCACACTCAAAATCGATATGGATACGCGATACGGACCATGAATTTACGCTTGCCAAAAGTCTCTACTGTTTATTACCACGCGACGTTTCGAGTTCATGGAAACCAATCATCATCACTTGTCCCGATAACATATCTAATAATTCCCGGCTCGAGATGTTAATTAAATCTTGCTAGCGTATGGTCTAAATGTGCTGAATACAATTCTATTTGCTGAACGACGTTCCGACCATATTTATCTGTGGTTTATCAAGAAATTATTTTAAATTAGTTTATATATAAACACAGATATAATAGAAAATATTCAGGTAAAGTGTTTAATTAGCAATGTGCTTCTAGAACAAAATTTATTCTCCAGTCTTTTGTCATTTGTTTGTTGGCTTGTTTTGATCATTCACACATTCGAATCCAACTTTCATCTTCTGTAATAACCAAAAGTCTTCAATGATATGACCATTGATCACTCGATTTAACCTGATATCAACCTTCTCCGCCCGATGTCAATCTGTTAGAATAACAAATGTTCAAAATAAAATAAAGGGAGGTTTTATGTTTCATAACGACGGATTGTTTTGAAGTCGATATATGTTGTTTACATTAGTGATTTAAATTTGTGAAACGAAGACCTCTGAGGTTATGGACCTTGTTATAATTCTCTTTGTTGAATTTTGTGAACGAGCTAACGACCAAATTTACCATCCGATCTATATGAAATTTATATGCATCATTTAAATTGGTGAAACTATGAGGCATATTGAATTTCATCAATTTCCGTTAATTACATCTTGTTGAACCCAGTGAACGCTCTAACGACAAAAGTGATCATCCGATCTGTATGCAATTTATATACCATCATTTAATAGTGAAACGAGGAAGTCTATTGAATTTCAGTAATTTCCATTAATTACGTCCAGAGTTATGGCCCTTGTTTCACTTCTTTAGACATTTTGAACACCCAAACGCCAATAGTTATCATCCGATCTGTATGAAATTTATATGCATTATTTAAATTAGTAAAACAAAAAAAGATTGTCGAATTTCAACAGTTTTGGTAAATTACTTTCAAAGTTAAGGCCCTTGTTTCAATTTGTAGAACCTTGTGAATCCCCAAACAACGAAAATTATAATCTTATCTGTATGAAATTGTCTTATAAATGCCGCCCATTACCTAGAAAGAATAAATATGCGACAACCCTTGTCGACCCATCGGACGATTTAGCTGATGTGGGCGTATGTTTCGTTGCCTGCCCACCTATCTTTCATCTTGACCGAACGACTAGATTTACCTTGCGTTTCGCTCTTTTCAGCACTAATGACAGTGGCAGACACGCCCTCGCCCAATACCTGGATCGAACCTGGAGGTAGCGTCATACTCGCCGAGCCACACCTAATGTAAAATAATAATCCTATTAATCCTATCACTATTGCCAGGTGAGAAATTGGCAAAAATATCATTTTCCTCTTCAAATTCAAACGTTTGAAGATAGCTACTCCATGGTGGAGGATAGAAAACAAGGGAGGTAATTGGGAGGTAATTGTGTTATTATTTCCGGTGTAAATGAGTTTTAAGTGTGCGAATGACACCTATGATCGTATAATAGTGAGTTGACAACCTATTGAGCAAAAGACTTTCTTAGAAAATATGAAATTGTAACTTTAAATAGGTTTGATATAAAGTATTAAATAGATTTGATATGAAGTATTAAATAGGTTTGGTATAAAGCCTTAAATAGGTTTGGTATAAACTATTAAACAGATTTGATATAAAGTATTAAATAGGTTTGGTATAAAGTATTAAATAGATTTGATATAAAGTATTAAATAGATTTGATATAAAGTATTAAATAGGTTTGAATTCAAAACGTCCACATGACTAATAATAATTCGTTTATGCGCAGGGGTCTTTTGAAGAGTGTGTGGAGCGTAGGGGGGGGGGGGGTAGAGTAGTTAAATAAATTCCACTGTGCTCGGCAGGTTTCTCCTCCTTTCAGGGGCGGATTGGGCCATCGGGTGATCGGGCGATCGGACAAAAAATGAAAAACATAACTTTGTCCAATTCGTCTAAAAAAACCTTTTTCTACTGAACATTATATGGGGGTATTGGACCGGTCATGGAGCGATGATGATCATGTTGTATGTGGCCGTTGCTATAACGGGCCGCCACGCCATCACTGGAGTCTGGAATGGGCTGGTATAATAACACTTTCTGGGCCTGGTGTGCTGGTTCACAGGTTGATGGTTGTAAATTACTTGCAGGTCGGGGTTTTGGCCTAAATTAATCGATTTATGAGATATATTTTTTGACATAGATTATAATCAGATATGCCACCAAATCGCATATTTGGGGTTCATTTTTCAAAATTTTCCAGGGGGAGAGCAACCTAACCCCCCGTCCGGGCTCCGCGGTCAGTAAAAGCGGCCGCTCCGACACGGGAGCCCGGACCGGTTCCCGGCCCCAATCCGCCCCTGCCTCCTTGTCACGTACAGACTCGCAGACCTGCGGAGATTGAACCCATGTTTTGCACAGATAAAAAGTCTTATGGTCTACAACACACGTGATAGAACACGTCTTCGTAACAGTATGACGTGACGTTAAAGGAGCTAAATCGCTAATATTTCGAACATAGAAATTGACACAAATAGGTCGCAATGCATATAATAATGTAATATGAATGTATATAAACTGATTTACATTCAATCGTTTCCGTTTTTACTCTAATTTCAAAACAATTATGTTCTGGTTATTCGAGTCTACGCTGATAGTATTCATTGTGCATGCTCTCCATATAAGAATATGAAGTCACCGTTTGACATGACTTGTATAATATGTCTAGCCTCATTCTTCAAGTCCCTTGTTACAAATGACGCTGAAACGCATTATGGTACACGATTCGTGTACCAATGCTAAAATGTTTATTTTGTCTTGAATATTGGATATCGGAAGCCCATCTTTTCCCGGTAAGATCACAACATCAATGTTGATTTAAATTAACAAATAATTCGTGTTTTCGATGTGAAAGATTTTGGATGAAATTGAGTTAGAAACTTAGCTACTTTAAATTCACATGACTTATGTGCTAGCTGATTTGGAGAAAAGAAAAGAATTTGCTAGATATTTCAAATCCTTTATCACCTTTATTTTATTAATTGAAAATAGACACGGGCCATTCCGGTAATATGAATTAAAGAAACTTCATAGTGGAACGTGGGTCTATTCAAGCCAGAAGTTGTCGTGATCATAAGAACTAAAAACAAATCAGTCTATCGACCAATAATTAAGCGGTGTGTAGCGGACATCAGTAGATGGTCAGTCCAATGTCGTTTATAAATATTTAATGAACGAGAGTTAACACTGGGATAATAAAGAACATACATACGCCATACAGTGTCAGGGGTTTCTTTAAGTGCACTTTTTCTATGCACGCGGACGAAAAGGTCGCTCTAATACAGATATAATGGACCAGTTTAGTCATTAAAAACCTTTCATTTTAAGCATCTTTGATGAAATAGAAAATGTAATAAAAACACACAAAGATTCGTAAAAATCGATACAGCGGATAATGGACATGTTATATTTGAAAACAAAACATACATATTGTTTTAGCCTAGATTTTCGAAAAATGGAAAATATGGAATTTTTTAAGTGGATACAAATAGATCTTTTAATTCATGTATAAAAGAAAATACAATAAGAGAAATTTCATTATTGTTAACAGAGGGATCTACACAAATATACTTTAAAGGAAAACGGGTGGAGAACATTCCCACGTAGGCAATTAAGATAGTACGTATTGTCTTTACCTACTTAATGTTGTCTATGACGATGCTTTACCTAGTACAAACCAAACATGCTATTTCTAAAAATAAACAAAAAAAAAAACTGAAGAGCCTCGGGGAAGAAAGATCTAAGTCACTTTTTCAACGAACCCCAGTTAATGACACCATCTGGTAGCAAATTGTATAAGCTTTCTGCGGAACAATCAATTTCAGGTAAAAACGACCGGAGTCACATCGAACTAAGGCCCTTCTGAAATGGCCTCCCGGACAAATACAAGTCCATCGTATTTATTTGACCTTAATTTGACTGAAAAGTGGAAGTCAGTTGCTGTACTGGTAATTATGATTCGTATTAAACATCATTTTTAAGTTTTAATCGTTGTTCTGTTCGCGTCAAGCACTCGTCCAAAGGTCTGTTTTGCCTTTTATGCGAAAAGGCAAAACGTGACTTAGATCGTTCTTTCCCTGGACTCTTCAACTGTAAGTAAATACTATTCAGCCGTATCCTAGCGGAAACTCCATTAAAAAACCAACCACCAAATAAAAAATAAAATGAAATCGGGTTTAACGTCCAGTTTATTTTTCTGTAACGACTGGACTAACGCAGACGTACATACGCCATGCAGTGTGCTATGGCGGACATTGTGCACGGCCAATGGCGCTTATTTCAAATACCAACTGTCAAGAGTTATTTTACGTGCACCGCCATCCGAACGACTAGATACTGCTGCGCCACATATAAATAAGGGTGAACCACGCCTGAAAATTCCAACGTGACTCTCTTTGTATCATTGATTGAAACAATAATACCCACACGTAGGCGAAAATATAATGCTCATACCAGATGGAACATATGATATCACTTCCCTTTTATACGAGACATCCACATAACTAAAACAATTTTCTTCGTTTGTGACGATATTTACAACCGTTTCTAGAACACCACATACCACTTCGCATTTATTTGGGAAGTTCACGTAACTTAGCCCATTTTGTTATTCTTTTATCCATGTAAATTGGTATCGGGTATTGTGCCGTTGATGAGTAATAAGTAAGCCTACCACCTTCATTGACCTCAACATATATGATATAGTACCTGTCATTACCTTTAACCTCGACCTCTGTGATAGAGTACCTATCATAGTATACACTTTAAACACAGGTAACATCTTATCCCTATAGTTCACCCCATAAACAACAAACATAATATTGCAAAAACCACAGACGACCGTCGTCATGTTTTGTGTGGTTACAAAGAAGGAAAGATGAACGTCCCAAAAAATGAGTAACCTCTATTCACCTCTCATATATTTACCAAAGAGTGAGAATCTGAATAATTATAATACCATTTACCGTGTATTGTATATAAAATATACCCCGTACCTGCAGCGAATAATATGTGTATATGATTTAAAGGGAAAACTATACGTAACTAATAATTATGAAGCTTCGCTACCCAAGGACCAATAAACATTTTTTAATGTTTTAATAAGTATATGAGTTGTAAATTGTCCTTTAGATAGTAAGTAAGACGATTAAAGCAAAAATCATAATTTAGATACCATCTTGGCCTCGATGTTCAAACGATTGCAAGGGAAAGATAGATGATGGCGTGGATTAATCTGTGAGAAACTTGATATTTTCAGAAAAATACAAATCACGCATTGTTACTTTAAAGGGCGTATAGCCCAATTGTATGGAATCTTAAAATAGACGAACATGTGTCTAAAAGCACAAATTAATGTAATATGAATGTATGTAAAGTGATTCATATTCAATTTTAAGTAAATTTATTATTTTCTAATCAATCAAGTTTTGTGAAATACATTAACAATCCAAATTTAAGGACAATTGTTTACGCCTGCTTTGTCCTTTCTACATGTTCTTTTATTACTATTTTGTCGTTTGTGATTCAGCCATAATTAATAACTATGTTTTACTATGTTCATTACAAATGGCACCAATATAAGTAACCCATATTGTCACGGCAATATAGCATAAGTATGTTTATAGTTTATTTATCTGCCCAGTTACTAAATGCCACTTAAAGAATAACATCAATATTGATTGAAATGGGCCAATATTGATTTCTAATTCGTGTTTTTAATTTCGAATATTATGTAAATTATTGAGATATAGCTCCTTTAAGTCAGAACTGGTCCAGATTAAAATTTCTGAACCAGCATGTTTTTTGTGAAGAGAACATGAGAACGTGTTATTGTCTATTGTATTAAAGTCTATATTTGTAGATTATTTTGAAATGTAGGTCTTTATAGATTGTGGCTATTTAAAGTTTCAGGTCACCTTTATGCGTTTCATGTAAATAAACCTATTATAAGTCTGTAATAATTCCGTAAAGACCTGTCCATTGTTTATGTAGCCTACAACCCAACCCCCACTCCCAATAACAGTCTTATTACATTGTTTATGTACTCCCCTCCACCACCAACACACTACGTGCTTATTTACCCTAACAATCATGCAATTACCTGAGCCATCAACGTGTTGCCTCTTTAATATTTAAGCACTCTAAGAGTTTCCTGTGAACTTAATCAATAGTGTGATTTAAACTGTATCTTTTTGTTATTGAAGAATATCAATGCATTACAGATCGTAGGCTTAAAGTAGCTAATGCCGGTTCCCACTGTTGTGCGATGCGTTACGATATGATTTCCCTATTGAGAGCACGATCGGATACGTTCGGATACGTTTCGATACGGTCACCACAATTTGCTACGACTGACCTCAATGTATGATAAGACCACCACTCGACACAAACTAGGTCATTTCGGGACTAACACGTGGTTTAATTTTATTTCAATAATTCGCTTGAGTGTATGGGTCTTTAGCAGTGTGGGAGGGGGGAGACCGGAGGACCCGGAGAAAACCCACCAGGTTGCACAGGCGACCCTACTCCTTGTCACGTACAACCGTGAATCGAAACCAAACCAACTGACTCAATGACAGACCTTATGATACAGCGCGCCTAGACACTAGAGATTATCATTTAACCGATTTTAAATTACAGTAAAAACAGAAGCGATTGAATGTAAATCAGTTTATATACATTCATATTACATTATTATATGCGTTGCCACCCATTTGTGTCAATTTCTAGGTCCAAAATATTAGCGATTTAGCTCGTTTAAAAAAAGGTAGCGCGCGCTATATTCAGATTAAAGGGAGATAAATCTTTAGACTGTGTCAAACGAATTGGAAACTGGTCAAAAGAATTGAAAAAAAAATAGGACGATAATTTTTATTTGTAAGTATATCAATCATTTGGATATGTAAGGTTATCCAAAAACCTATGATGTACAATAAAAGAAATAAACAATGTTTGGCTATATAAAGTGAAGAATATTGCTTGTGATGTATCAGTTGTCTATCGGTTTAGTTAGTTGATGATAAAGGTAAGTTTAATAACAAACAGTTTAACTCAGTTGCTTGTTTTGCATGAGTCATGCTTTCGTTATCTAAATACCAGACTGTTCCATGACCATACAAGTCGTTTCCGAGAAAATGGGCTTCAAAGTTTCAAAACAATCGGGTTTTCAGTATTCAGGTGAAATCAATAATAATGTGGTATTATTATTGATTTCAATATATAATCAATAACGTGGTATTGGCCAAACTTGAAACCGAACTATTGAATGTCCTTAGATAGTAGGAGAAAGGTCAATCTGGGGCATTTTTCACGAAATGTTAACTAAGATAGGAGAAAGATCAATCTGGGGCATGTTTCACGAAATTTTAACTAAGATAAAAAAGAAACAAATTTTAGTAATTTGATTGGATAATATTAGATTGATTTTAGTGCTTAGCTAATCAAAATTGAAGTATCTACTAAAATTTGGATTTTATCTTTAGTTAAGATTTAGAGAAACAGGGACCTGGTTCTCACAAACAAGTTAGAGATGAGACAATGCAAAGAGGTTTTTTTTTTTGGTCTTCAAATTGGTTTGGATATAGATCTTAGTGGTAAATCTCAAAAAGCAAAGTACATAACTGAATTTTCCCCCTCATAGGTAGCCTATGGTACTGTTTATTCTATGTTTTTTGAGTGGGATCAGAGACAACTCGGAATCGTAAATTAACTGCTATTGAAATGCTGTAACTTTGGTAGAATATTTCAAAATTCAAAGAAGCTGGCTAACCAGGAGAACCCCAGGTTCGTTCCCGGTGTTGGTTGAGGAAGTTCCTCATGATTTTTCGGGATGGTTTCCCCTTGTTAGTAATGCGGGACTGATGGTCTGACAAGGAACATTGTCTAGTGTTCCGGATGGCACAAAAAAGTGAGGTCCCGTGAATACATTGGCATGCACATAAAATAACCCTTGACAGTTGCGGAAGGCCGTACCGCCGCTGTTCAGGCAAAATGTTCCCCACGGCACATGGCATTACGTATACTACCCGTTTTGATTAGCCGCGTTGATTTTCATTTCATTTATCAAAAGGTACAAGTTCAATTATTATTGATGAAATCAACATAATAGAAGAATTCGATTGAATAATAAACAATAATTGTTAATAAAAACTTCCCGTTACAGATTTGAACCATTGAATTATTTATTGAACATGGAGACTAAAACGAGCCTTTCGTTTCTAATTATTGTTGTTTTCTCTGCTACTTCAGCACGTAAGTAAATTTAATTATTTTTATGGTCTATTCATATTTCATATTTTTACCTTACTGTGCGGTCAATATTCCATCAAGGGACATCACTGCGTGTGGTTGATTTATATTGGAAAAATGTTTGATTGATAGAATTAACTAATGGGTGCAAAAAATAAATAAATATATCGATGTTGTCCCAGGGCACACGATGGGTTTAACTCGGGGTCGAATCAATGATATCTTTAAATGGCTCACATGTGGTATCTATGTAATCTGACACACATGACATTATGGGTTACAAAAAATCCTAGTTCGGAGCAGAACAGTAGGACGTTAAACCCCATTTCATCTCATTTCATTTCCAAAAACCCTACCAATTCCTTGAGCATGATACCACAGCTAAATGGGACTTTGGACATTGATTCCAGATCTCGGAACAATGGCCACCAACCTAGTCGTTAAGTATAATTGATGTGAAGTAACATCGGATGCTCTAGAAAGTAGGCGTTACTGATTGGAGGGTCTAGATAGAGTTTCCGTTGGATGTTCTAGGTATAGCCACCGTCGGATGTCCTAGATAGAGCTACTGCCGAGTGTTCTAGGCAGTTTCTGTAGGGCTTTCTAGATAGCAGGTGCTCTAGAAAGAGGTTCTGTCGGGTGTGTTACTGACAGCTGAGTTCTAGTTTCCGTTGGGTGTTCTAGCTAGAGCTACCACCGGGTGTACTAGATAGAGCTACAGCCGAGTGTCCTCGGTAAAGTTTCGTTGGGTGCTCTAAATTTACCCACCCGATTGTTCTAGATAGACCTACTGTCGGGTGTTCTAGATACAGTTTCTGCCTGATGTTACTGTCGGGTGTTCTAGATACAGTTTCTTCCAGGTGTGATAGATAAAGCTACTGTCGGATGTTCTAGATAGAGTTTCTTCCAGGTGTTATAGATAGAGCTACTGTCGGATGTTCTAGATAGAGTTTCTTCCGGGTGTTAAAGATAGAGCTACTGTCGGGTTTTCTAACTTTTAATTAATTAAATATTCATTTGGGAGATGATGTAATGTTCAATATTCATTCATGAGATGTAACGTTCTGGAGCACTGTTATATTGTATTGCCTTTAATGAACATTTATAAATCCACAAGCAATTTATTCAGAATATAAATTTTATCACGTCATACCTGAAGTAAATAAAGATTATCGGACATTTGCATTAGATCATGTCACACCCTATTGGTGTTAGAAATAAAAACTACCGAATTGTTAAAACTTTGTGTAAGACCCCAATGCGTTAGAACGGCATAACTATTTTTCTTTATTAAATTTTACGAAAATATAAGGTAAAAAGTGTTTTTTGTATAGTCATCTAGTATTGATCGATATTTGGATATTTTCCCTAACAAAAGAAACGTCTCCCGGGATTACTAATGTTTACAGTATTATCGTCATATTGTCTTCACCAATTTATTTATCAATTCTGTATAAACTTTCAATATCCCTATTCCTCATTTATTTATTCGCCGTTATGGTTCCCGTAATATTACAATTCCCCAAACTATTTTTGAGTGTCGTGACATGGGAGAAGAGGGGAGGGGGGTATTTATGTAAGACAAGTGATTATTATCATACCATCTACAAAGAAATCGATTCGATGCACCCGGCTGGTTATTTTGATAAACATAATTATCTTTGTTCCGCCAGATAGGATACAAGAAATATGCAATTATCGTACTACTGAGTTGACAAATATATCATGATATAAAATCTTATAAAATCACTGAAGATACAATCAACATGTTATTTATTATATATAGAACGCCAAAAGCATATTTGTATTTATCCAGCCCACATGAATATAATTGACACGGTCCTCTCGGCAGTTTCGAGTAGGAGCGGAATTTAGATTAGCATGGTGGTGAAATGAAAAAGGGTTTGACGTCCTACTTTTTTGCACTAACTGGGCTATTGAAGACGGATAAAATCTGTCTCATTGCACATTGAAAAAGATTTTGCCAACGGCGTTTTCGGCGACTCCAACTATCATGGCTTCCCCTGTGTGCACGCCAATCCGTACACGGGTTTTCCATACCACCCGTCTTGTGCTGTTCCGTCTTGCCCATCCTGTTTAGCGAGACTGCGCCTCAATGAGACACCGTGGCTCCGTAGCGTGGTGGTGACAGAAGGGACACGGTGGGGGAATAAACCAGAATAAGTATATTGTGTGAAAAGAATGGAAACTATGAATCTATTAATAAAAAAGTGTCTGTATTGAAACAGGTTTATTACACGTAATATCAATATTGAACTTCAGCACCACGGTAGCTCGTCACACCTCCGATTTGTCAGTGTAAATATTCTTATTGATTTCCGAAGAGAACTTTGAAAAAGGGTAAATTTGAAGACTTAATTGGTCCATTAATTGTGTAAATATAAAAATAATTATATTTTTAAATCGATTAAAGCAATAATTTAAAGCTATATTCCATGATTTCTGTATGACAGAAATCTAGTCGCTACGTCATTGTACTTTGTTTATTTGGGTAAATAAGAACGATAGTACTATATGGACCAGAAACAGAGCATGACATCATCGCCACCATCTTGGAATTGTGACGTCATATTGAAATCCATCTCCGTTTATCGATGCGGAATTGTCCAAGTAACAAGCATGCACAATTTCATGCGATCGTACTTGCATTAGAAGAACGACACGGTATCGGTTTGTTTACTGAAATGAAATGAAATGGGATTTAACGTCCTATTGTTCTGTTTACTAATTCTAGTTCCACTTGTCATTTTTAAGTGAATATAGCTGATGACTTCTCTTTTAGTTTCGTATTTATTTCAGTATGTCTATTTCTCGAAATTGTGTTCGATTTTAGAACCAGATTTTATACCTATTCGTGTAATGATAGGCAACAATTTGTTTTTAATATGTGGTGAAGCCTGATCAATTCTTTAAATGACATCTAAAAGTATGTTTAACTATTCGCGGTAAAGACTGGCCAGGTTTAAACTAACTCAATTCGTTATCTTTCTAGTCATTTAGTTCATCTATCAGAGAATTACTTAAACATGCATTATGCAAGAGCTAAATCTGCCTATTGCAGGTCTTTCTTTAGGCCTGAAATGTTTTCTAAAGTATTAATTAGACATTAATTAACTGATCCAGGCCTTAATCAACTCTCGATGGCATCAGATTTCTCCGATATTAAATAGATTAGAATGGTTCAGCGATACTTTGATTTAATCAAATATGGAGGACCGAGACTTAGCTTCGATCAACCAGTACGGTGGTTGAAATTATTGCACACGTCTGTCAAACCTTCAAAGGCTAATATCTTCGCTTGCAATTGAGTAATTTGAATGAAATTTTCAAATTATTCATTTTACATCATCTACTTTCGAACTATTATAGCAAGAATGGCTAGTTCTTTATCTAAATCTTACATAATGTATCTTTAAAGGAACTCAAAGCGATAGCAGGAAGTCAATTAGATATAACTACGATCCGTTTAATTCAGTCTCATCCCTACATTTCTTGATATAATCCAAAGAAATTTATAGACTTACGATTGTTTTAACATTCAATTACCCCAAACATGCCTCTTCTTAATATGCCTACAAGTTGTACGGTCCATGGAGACGATTATCCTATCGTGTAACCCTTTAAACATAGACTTTTCTCTTTTTACAGAAATCTTCCAAAGTGGCATTTCCAATCCCAACACTGGTTTGCCATATACAGATAATACAGCATTGGTTAATACAGGAACCGCATTACCAACTAGCGGATCAACATTCACTGGTTTAGGTGGAACCGGTTCGCAGACTACCAGAACCGACATTACTGAAACTGGAATACCGAATGCCAGTCCTACAGTAGCCAGTTTTCAAAATATCGATAACTCTGGAACAGGATTACAAACTTCCGGTTTCACCAATACTGGACAACCTACTACTGGCATGTTATCGTCAGGTTTTCATAATTCGGGGCCCACTGGAATTGACACACCAAGTACAGGCCAAAGTATTACAGGTTTAACAAATATAGATTTTACTGGAACCGGAATGACAAATACGGGTCTAACTGGAACCGAAATGACAAATACAGGCTTAACTGGAACCGGAATGACAAATACAGGTGTAAATGGAATGACCAACACAGGTTTAAATGGAATGACAAATACAGATTTAAATGGCATGACCAACACAGGTTTAAATGGAATGACAAATACAGATTTAACTGGCTTCGGAATGACAAATACAGGTTTAAATGGAATGACAAACACGGGTTTAAATGGAATGACAAACACGGGTTTAAATGGAATGACCAACACAGGTTTAAATGGAATGACAAATACAGATTTAACTGGCTTCGGAATGACAAATACGGGTTTAAATGGAATGACAAACACGGGTTTAACTGGCACCGGAATGACCAACACAGGTCTGAATGGAATGACAAATACGGGTGTAAATGGAATGACAAATACTGGTTTAAATGGAATGACAAACACAGGTTTAAATGGGATGACCAACACAGGTTTAAATGGAATGACTGGTCCAACTGGAACTGGGTTCTCTAACACAGGACTACAATATAATGGCTTTTCCGGGACAGGGCTTCAGAACACTGGAACGACTGGACCAACAACCGATACCGGTTTAACAGGTCAGATGCCGGGTACCATATTTCCTTTGACCAGTGGTCCTAACGGCTTAGCAACGCAATCTGCCTTGGGGCCAACTGCCATGGCACCAGCAAGAAGCGGAGGGTATGGTCAACAAAATTATGGAACGGGAAGTTTACGTGGTATGACCAACGGCATGAATGTGAACCCCGCGGTATTAGCTAATGTCATCAACTCCTTATATGGTAGTAACACTAGAAGAATGGGTGGTAATAGTATGATGGGTTTAGCCGGTATGTCGCTTTTCGGCGGAGGCGATAGATTCTTTGATATGTTACCCTATTTTGCTATGGGTGGTATGGGAGGTATGGGGGGTATGGGCGGTATGGGTAGTATGTTTTTAATGAATAGTCTGTTTAACTAAAATGATGAACCGAATTTGAATTTCTCAATTTTAAAGTCTACGATCGTCATTGGGTTATATGGTGAAAGTTGACTCTTTTAAACAATCTGATTAAAACACTGGTTCTATTTCGTTTCGTTTCTTATATTTAAAAATGTCGTTTTATTTGTCTTTACTACACTAGGATCTGGAAGAGTTGTTTTATAACCTGCATTCTGTTTGATGTGAGGGATTAGCCAATGAAACGGTCGGTTGAGGCAAGTTCTTGGCGTGCGATGCACGGAACCATGGGTATCCCACTAGAAATATCAACGCTGACTGGTTAATCAAATGTCTGACATCATAGGGTCAAAAGCCACTCGTATGACCCCTGATGCGACTTCCCACTACAACCGGTCAGATCTTCATATAGCGGAGGCCATCGACACTATAAAAAAACGAAACGAAATATATATCTGTATTTTAATTACATTGATCTATAAAAGGAAAATCAGTCCAAAAATGGTTCATTTCTGTTCAGTATTTATTTACAAATGTTGACTTGAAATTTGTCAACATTATGGATTCTGTGCAGGCGATATAAACGACAAATGGTCGAAACAAGACTATAATCTTTACTAAACTATCTTTATAGGCCTTTTCTTAATCCGATTAGATCTAAGCCGGAATATTACCTAGTGTTAATATTTTGATTTGGTTTTCTTAATTAAATTTTAAATAATCAATTTAGGTACATTTTCGATTGGATTAAGCCATGAAAAATTTAAAATTGTTCGAAAAGCGCAAGTAACGATCAGCGACTTTAACGCATCATTATTTTAATAATAGTTTCTGTTTTCTATTATGTTTTTCTTACTTTTATATTCTGATAGGTGTAAGCGAACATTTCCATACACCCGGGGTGTAAGCGAACATTTCCATACACCCAGGGTTAAATATAGTCGCGAACAACCATACCATATACATATAGAGGGGTGGCTGTCGGGTGGTCGCTATTGAAAAATGAATTTTTAAAGGGAAGAAACTGTCACTTGCAGGAGTTTTGGGTGCAAATTCGATATAAGCTACAATCTTCTGATGTTGACGAAAAAGCTTCTCGACCCGTAGATAAAATTTTACACAAAGTAAAAAAATTTCATTCTGAGCATGGAAACGTGTCATATGATTAATTGATTTTCTTAAATTATAAGCCTTCTGACTGCATTTTAAATCAATATTTGTACATGCACATCAATAGGTTTGACATGCGCACAAGACGCCATACCAGTTTATAGGTGTAGTAGTGTCGGTTAAATAAAACTGTTCCCGTAGCCTATATTCTCGAGATGACGCGAAGACAATATAGTTTTGGGTAACAAAGACTGGGGTAAATAGTTAAAAAAAAAAATACGAGAAATCAAGGAACAAGACCGTAGAACGTTTGCTTCCGCTCAACTCAAGTTATATTAAAGTTCAATCGCTTGTTGGCAGGTTTACTGGGCATTTTGTGATGCTAAAAATGTCTCCAAATCGGCTGGTGTGCACACAAAAATAACATAATTATTATTACTATTTTTAACCTAGTCCTAGAGGAATACATATATAGAACCCAATGTAAAGTTTAAATGGTCATAACTTTAGTTCGATTTGATTGATTAGAACAATTGTTAAACCAAAATGTATTTATGAAGTTTTGATTGTTTATGGCATTAACCTCTATATATAATCTTTATCTCGCATTTTGGGGCTTCAAGTTTTTATATGTATATTATACAGTGGGTTACTAATTGGTTAATATTTAAAACGTATGAAAAATGTTACATGGTTCTGTGTCCTGCTACCATTTTAGAAATTTGCTAAGGTGGACACAACTATTTTGGAACAATCATACTATAATTATGTGTTTTTATTCCTGTTAAATTTACCATATCAATAAAATAAATTAAATTTAAAGTTTTTTTTTAATATTATTTGTATTGTTTATAATTTATATTTTTGTCATCACATATCCGAATGTCAGGGTGCCGATTACTATCTAGTTCTCGGAATAAACTGTAAAAAAAGTCATCCACGCCTTTTCCCTACCGATATCTTTTTTATCATACATAACTGGCGAGTATGCGTGTTAGTCATTGAAAACCTACAATATGCGAGACCAAGCATGCGCCAACTGAAAATAGACTATCTCTACTAATCCAGTTTGATTACGTCACGATTATACTGATACCACATCTGGATCTGTGACACGACTCAATCAATTCCTTATCCTATGCAACAATCTAAAGATTCGCAGTGCTTTTTTTTTTCAAACAAATACAAGCTCTCAGTTTCTATGTCGGTTGGTCATAAGTCCCCACATTCCTCATTGTTTAAGTGCCTGGAAATTATTGCAACAACGATTCATCAACTGTTTCATTTTTTATCATAGCTTGATAATGACTAGAGAAGCCTAGTCGACACGTCGCTCAGTAAAAAGCAGTAGAATTGTGACCTGTATAAACTATTCATCAAGATTATCTAGTCACACATAAGACTTTGACGGACTTCTCTTTATGAGTTAGGTAACTCATTAAGCAAATCTAGCGATCATTTTATATTCAGAAAAAGTAAATTTAGGCGGTTTCGTCATATTGTAACCTAGCTAGTCCTTCGGGTATTAAAAGAGTCTGGAATAGTTCTTCAATTCTTTAATACTGGACACTTATAATAAGAATTATCTACATACACTTACAGGATCGTAGATAACCGACTATTACCTAATTGTGGAATTACAAGCATTGATTTACAATATAAGAAATAAAACAATGGTAAATAAAACAATCGGTAGATTAATCATGCGATTGTCATGTTCACCAGTCAGGATATATTGACCGTTACTTCCTATCTATAAAAGTTTTATAAACAATATGAATTACAATCAATTAGCATTACATAACATTATTTCATCCTTGGCTAGTCACCTTTTAAAGGACAATATTGGTGTCAGTCATAATTACATATGTGATAGAACTGGTTAAATACATTCCAAATATAGTTTTAACACAGAGGTCATTGCTACGGAAGATGTGTAAAAAGCACGTGAAGAAACGGGAAGTGACGCCAAACATGACAAACACATAAAGAAAGAGATCAATGAAGAAATAAAAACTCATACATGTATTTATTTTGTTCTTCAGTTCCACAAACTAAATTTAAAAATAAACGCATTATAAATCAAGAAACTGTGAGATCAATTTAAAATTTAATTCTAGCAACTATACACATTATAAATAAATAAACGCGATATAAATAGCTTAAATTTAAAAAAGGGGGAAACAGGCTTAAAGAATAATAAATATATTAAACATAAAAGAATACTCATTCGTCATCATATATTATTTGTGACTAATTATTATATGTTCGGGGTTTGAGGCTACACCAGGGCTGCCCTGTGGTTAAAATTTAGGGCACAAGGGTATGAACTACCTCTTCCGGTTTCACGAAGCTAAGTTGGTTAATACATGCGATGCTAGAATACACAGAAAGTTAGTTACAACTGATTGCATTTGACCGTCTTCGGTATCTAATTTCGAGTATAAAGCGAACAAATTATATCGAGACGGGGTTTACGAGCTTCCAGTCACACGTTTTAAGTTTGGGGTTGATTTTATCGGGTGGAAAATATACAGTATCGAGATTCGAGAACTGAAATTTTGAGTATCCAACTTTCTTTTTCGAGTTTTCATTAAACTGATGATTTTTACAATCTATCAAATAACGTCCTTACCTTTCCTCTCGAGCTCACAATAAATAGTTAGTCGGAAATTCTTTCTACCGGTAAAATATTCTTCCCTCAAAATTAATCTAATTAATTTAAGTCTCTTTGCGTCATTTGTATTTGTCTGACAATATCGGATGTTATCCAAATTATTAATTAGATATGTATTAACTTATCCAGACCATAATCAACTCTCGATGTCATCGCTAGCCTGCGATATTTACTGGATTAGGATCCGATTTGCTGCTCAACTTTCATTCATGATTTAGTAATAATGATCGAGGCTAGGCCGAAAATTCAATGGCTAAATTCTCGGTTCAGAGTGGATCAATTTGGCTTATAGTGAGAACTGCCAGCTCTTTATCTAATCTCGCAAAATGTATCTTTAACTTACCAAGACCATACAACCAACTCTCAATGCCATCGGATGGTTGCGATATAAGTAGATTTAAGTACGTTTTGTGGACGATACGGTTACCGTAAAAATGGATAATCAAGACTGATTATTATCGTAACAACGGTAGTAATAACAATCATTGTATCGCTAACATCTAGGCTCAGAGTAAAGTAATTTTGACTATTTTAACTATTATAGCGAGAACTGTCAGCTATTTATCTAATCTTACCTAATGTCGCTTTAATGGCGTATTTTATTCCCTAGGTAGTTTGTTGTTGATGATATATAATTATTCTACAGAAGCGTTTCTTGAAATAGGGTTTAACGTCATACTATCCCGTACCAACTGGGGTAATGAATACGGGAGAAACATTACTGCCTGGAAAAGATATGCATGTAAACGGTTTAATCTCACTGTGCCCCCCAATCAACTAGTGTTATAGGGTAGTGGTTTGAAAATTTAAGTAAACAAAGGATTATAGACTGTATCCTTATTAGTACTGTTCGCCTAGTTAAAATTTAATTATTTTAATGATTAAAATATATAAGTTAAGTTCACGTGTCATCGGTTAACGAGTGTCTTAAATATTATTGACCTACCTTTCATTCAGACAGTACTCACATATCAATCAAATATATGATTAGAAACTCACTATCATTATATAAGGATAGTTGTCACCCCCAAGTTAAAATTTAATTACTTTAATGATTAAAATATATAAGTTAAGTTCACGTGTCATCGGTTAACGAGTGTCTTAAATATTATTGACCTACCTTTCATTCAGACAGTACTCACATATCAATCAAATATATGATTAGAAACTCACTATCATTATATAAGGATAGTTGTCACCCCCAATTACATTATATCTTTTAAAATGGCTCAAGTTCGCATAGGGTTTATTCCAAATTCTCAAAGAGGTCAAAATTTAGTTAATTTGGGGTATAAGTACAGAGTAAAATATACGAAACCCAATAGCACCAGCAGACTTTTACTGAAAATACAATAGTTCAATTGGATAACGGGGGACGATTGCCCCCTAAAAGACGAAAATATAAAAGAGTAGAAGAATCTATTAATGATCTAAAAATCAAACTGTTAAATGGAGTAAAAAGTGCAATTGAATATACTGACGCCATATCACATTTAGTAGGGTTATGATTTAAGTTTGATACATGTATTTGTTGTTACTTTTATGAAATTTATTGTGAATAAAGTTGTTAATTAGTTTAAACCTAGTAGTTTAAAAAAAAACAGACTATACTTTTAACACCATTGTATTCGATAATCCCCTTGCTTGATTAATCCCCCCTTGAGAACAATAGCAGGGGGCACAGTGAGATGTCCCCATGTAAACGTCTATAGTTCAACAAGTCTGTCAGAAATTAAATCTATTTTCCTTTTAGTTAATGAATCATGTAGAAGACTGTGAAAATAATTGAGATGTATATTTATATGTCATACATCAATATGACTTATTGCCGAACATGATATTGTTGAATCTTAAATGAGGCAATTGGAAGGCGTGTGTCTAACACCCATCCTATTCACTGTGCTAACCGGAAATAAATTGAGGGAGAAATGGGGTTTAACGTCCACTTGACCCAAACTAGGTCATTTCGGGACTAACATATGGTTCAATTTTATTTCAATAATTCGTTTGCGCATTGGACCCGGAGAAAACCTAACCCTAACCCTGGAAAGAAAATATCAAAATTTAATTGTTCATGAAACCGGGATACAAAAATCAGTATCATAATCGGCAAATCAAAATCCAAAATGTGGTGACTGACTTTTTCTGAAAGTTTGTGCTCAAATTATAGAATAAATATAAATATTTTCTTTTGGAAAAAAAAAAAATTAAAAGATACTTTCTCTTTGTATTCTCATCATTAGGTCCCGTGTATATATTGGTGTGCACGTAAAAGATCCCTTGGCAGTTGGAATTCGATATAAGAGTACAACACATGGTATGGAGTATGCCCGTCTTCATTAGCCCAGTCGGACGTTAAATCCCATTTCATTTATTCTCATTATTATCTGGTATAAGCGCTCTATTCATATAGTTAGTGAATTATTCAAGATTGACTATAAAGATATTTTAATTGTACGGTCTCGTAGTAAAATCAATATCAATATTTGTATGGTATTATTGTAGGTTAGAATCTATAGTATATTATATTTATAACAATCCGTTATAATTGCCTTAAATGTGATTTTATTAATGATCAAATCAACATGTTTTGGCATCAATTATTATAGGCAATGCAGAACAATATATCATCAGACTTACGTTTATTAAAAGTATACCAACATTTCGTTCTGTATTATTTTTTTTTATTCCAAGTCATCGCAGTCCAAGACTATAGGGGATCACGTGGCTAAGTGGGTAAGACGCTGGCTCGCTAGCCTGGAGGTCAGGTGTTCGATCCCTGCATTGGCCGAGAAAGTTCATCCAGATTTTCCGGCGTGGTCCCCCCTTGTCAGTGATGCAGGACGAAGAGCCTGGCAAGGACAGCTGTCTAGTCGTTCGGATGGTACGAAAAACCGAGGACCCGTGTACACATTGGCGTGCACGTAAAAGACCCCTTGACAGTTGGAATTCGACATAAGAGTAGGCCGTAGTACCTCTGTCCGGGCAAAATTTCCCTCATAGCACACTGTATGGCGTATGCCCGTCTTCATTAGCCCAGTTCGGAGCAGAACAGTAGGACGTTAAACCCCATTTCATTTCATTTCCAAGACTATATCTTTATATGGCGTGTTCAGCCATGAGCAGATTTGATTGGTCGATTGCAGATCAATCTAGCAATCAAAACCCATGCTACAGAAGAACCCATGAACTCCGAGTATCGAAACATTTGATTGGCCAACTAATAAAGTAGGCCTGCTGTTATGCAAGAATTTGCTTTTCTTATAAGTCTTTCGATGACCAAGTGTGCTTTAGCTGTGCTTTAGCGGTTAGGATATTTAACTATCGACGAGAATTCGCTGTTTGGTTTGGTGCCGCTGGGCATGGGACTAGATGAAGGTTGAAAAAAGGTCAGTGTCAAGGCTTAAATTACCCCATCCCCACCCCCATTAATACACACAAAATAAATACACCAAAATGGATGTGTGGTACTTTTAAAATGAATCCCGCGAATAAAACGACGAAATGGAGAAAGGGCAATACAGCTTTAAAGTGGAAGTTGTGTTATAGTACACAGTTAGATGGGGTGTTCCCACTTAGCCGGCAGGCTTTGATGTCAAATTTTGCCGCTAATCCAGAGTTAATCCTAGAACAATGGTGTTATAAACTATAGTCCATATCTTTTTTAAGACTAAAACTGTATTGATTTTAACAAATTTAACTTATAAATAAATGCCTTACTAGTGAACAGTTCTTGGGTGACTACTTTTAAACAGACTATAGTTTTAAGATCAATCAAAGGATTAACAGATTGCCGGCTAAGTGGGAACACACCAAGTAGATATTGTACTTTCTCTGTACCCTGGATAATCCCACTACACTAATAATAAACGGATTACCCTGAGTTCATTAAGGCTTATGTTGTTAGCTTGATGTAAATCACGAATACTTATAGAATGATTTTAAATTGATGTTATTAACGCGATCGCTTGAAACAATAGGTGTAATTTGTGATTGGTTTAGATGTCCCATAATAGAAGCCAACAATACAGACTTAATGACTTTTCAGTGTTTACGTATATACATCACCATAGCTATCGCATTAATCTTCTACAAAATCATAGTTGGCGTTATAATGCTTTATCATTACCAGACTTTGTCATATAATAACAGATCTGTCTGACATCAACTCTTGCTGAAAAATAGTTTTATGGTTCTTTCTAGGAGAAAATTGGTAGAACATATCTTTTGGAATTGAGGAAACACACATTTTTTTATTATTGTATGTCAAACGTAGCATAAATAGAAGCGATGTTTTAGTACAGGAATCAGTAAGAATCTATGTTTTGGTAATTTGGTAAATCGCTTAAGAGAGAGAAAAGACATTATACAAGTTACTACAACTGACTTCTAAGTTTGAGTTTTTTGTAATATTGTTTTACTATTATATAAATCAGCGTGTGTACATATAGTGGACCGTTTTGTTTTGTGTTGGTTTTTTTTGTAATATTATTTGACTATCAGCTGGACCTTAAATGTTACTGTGATCTGTTTGCGTTTAGAATGATGAGAGTTTTGCAGTTTTTCTGTTTTTTGACATTATTTACTTCGGGTAAGTTTCTTCTACTTCTTTTAATTCGGGTTGGGGGCGCAAAAATAACTAGACCCACGCCTCGGGATAGTCATCCAGCATCCGAAAGCTGGAGTCGAGATTGATTTATTTTTTGCGATTTATTTCACCACGGTTTGAGAACGCCGGAATAAATAGGGAAGCTTCGAAAGTCACAGGAGGGGGTCAACTTCCAAAAAACTAACGCAAGAAAAATTACTCATTCTGAACATTTTTTTCCTTTTGCTTTAGCGAGACTATTTTTCTTTTCATTGCGATTAAGCTTGCCTAATTATATGAACGCTGCCCGAAAAAAAATATCCCTTCCGCCCACCCCGCCTCCTGCCTATGGAATGGATTTAAAGCCTCGTGAAGTTTGACATCTCTGAGGTGTTCGGCTTCTTCCCACAACCACACATCCTCGATATCCCTACAGATAACCAAAGAGCTCTGCGCTCTATAACCATATAAGGCATGAATTTAATATCGTAATGGTGTAGTTGTTGTGTTGAATGTAAACATCATTTTTCGGTATCGTATTATAATCTAAGCTGGCAAAGATCATCATTTCTCGAGCACCTCGTTACGAATTATTTCCACCTTAAATCTTATAAATATTTAATTAATATTATATATATTATATATAGAGAGATCAGGGGTTTATTCGATTAATGTGCAAGAACACGCACCTGCACACGCACCTGCATAATAAGATTAGAATCTTTAAATCAAAACCAGTCCGCTACCAGGCCAACAATTCTTATAATCAAGGTTTAAGAAATAGATACATGTAGAAGCCAAGCCTTTGCCCACCCTGCCCCTGGAACTGAGGTGTCCGAATGGTCTAGCGCGTTTAGATCATTAGCGGTGGGGTTTCGTTCCCACACTTGTACGTGACAAGGAGTAAGATCGCATGTCTAAATTGAAATGAAACGGGGTTTAACGTCATTCTGCTCCGAAATTATTAATTTATAATTATAATACCTTGACTCATTCAATATATTACCATATTTCCATAACGACCGACTAGATTAATGTAACAATTATAAAATAAACCCTCATTTTTGTAAGAATATTTAATCTGGCTGAACCTGATACAACAAAAATCACAAGACAATGTTATTAATGAATATTGGCAACATACTGTGTATATATATATATAAAAGTATTCAAATTGTCATATAATATTAAAGATAGAAAGTTAAAACATTTTGGAGAGTAAATTTATGATGTATTATGTAAGATTGAGATTAGCCCATTCGGAGCAGACCAGTAGGACCTTATAACCGATTACATTTGATCTCATTGTCATTAAAAATAATTGATCATGAAAAAGGTAAATATTGAAAATTTTGAGGCTAATTACTTCATTCTGAGCAGAGTTATAAATGTTTGAAAATTAGCCTAGTTTCGATTTGCATTGCTACCGTTGTTACGATAATGAACAGAGTCTCGATTATCCATTTTTAAATTAAATTACCTAATGGCGATTATGTTTCAATCCATTCAAAATCACAATTATCCGATGGTCTAGAACGTTGATTGTTGGCTTGTCATGTGAATAAATGTCAAATTAATAATTTTTATAACATTTGAGGTCAAAAGAAAGATCTGCATATAGGCAGATCTAGCTCTCTAATAATGTATCTTGTAGCACTATGGGTCGTTTGTCAGACGTGGAGAGTGGCAGACGCTAAACCGATCGCCACATCCGACGTCACTACATATTTTGGAACAGCCCTTGATGGTCTAGGTGTTGGTTGGCTCTGGACTGGTATCTCTTTTCTTAAGGACTTGTTTTCTTTATTTTTGGTTATGAAGTTAGAATCAATAATACGAAAGATAACACTACTGTTTCAGCCATCATATTTCTCCATTCCTTGTCTTTAGACCCCCTGTCTTGTTATTGTCACATTTCATAAACAATTTAATTTGCGCTTCAGAATAAACTTATACCATAGCTAATATTTTGGCAATGGATAATAATTAATCAAGACCATAATATTAGTTTGCATATGTGTTCTTAGCACAAATCCCTGTCATCCATATTACTACAATCTTTAATGCGAATTAAAAAGAACGCCCAATTATTATTGTACATACCGTTCGCTTCGGTGTTGGTCGAGAACGTTCCTCGGGTTATTTCGGTGTGGTTTCCTGTTGTCAGTGGTGCGGGGAGGAATAGTGTCTAGTCGTTCGGATGGTACGAAGTGGCCCCATTTAATTCCATTGCAATACTTTACACAAATACTTTTAGAATCCGGTGCGGTGCGAATCCAGGGTTTGGACATTGGCATGGTTTGGACATTGGCATGGTTTTAATTTTTGAGATTTTAGTGGATCGATCCATAGACCCGTGAAGTTTAATTCTGGTAGATTGCGAATAGATTCTTTGTCTGAGATTAAGAAATATGTTTCATCTCTCATAATCTTAATCTTACTAACCATGAGTCACATCCACTCCCCAACCCGGCAAACAAATACTTATTCCTAATTAGCCAATACGTACCCGCCCAACTCTAGTCCGAACTGCATGGACAGAAATTTAAAATGTAGGCCCATTTTTTCTTTTTGTTTATTTGATAAGAAAACAAAAGCCCACACACGTCTGTCTTTTTTTTCGGGTTATTTTTTTTTCTTTTCGGTTTCAGGATCAGCCTCGGCAGCACATTTTATTGGAAATGAGACTCAACTGAGAACAGATTTATTAATTACGAATAGTTACAGTAAAGATGTTCGACCCGATGAAAAAGTCGAAATATCAATTAGATTTAATGTTTTAACTTTAAACGAATTGGTAAGTACGATGGTCAACACTTTACGACAATAATCATTATAGATGGGAAGAAAAAGGGACTTGTGTTTAGTAACACGTCAAACATGGACCAATAATATTTTGAAACGGTAAATCTCGGTAGAACAACAAAAGATATTTTTTCATTGATAAATAACTTGCCCCCGCGATCGTCATTGCTCCGATACGGACATGCTGTAAAGAACTCTTTGTACGACTGTTTATCTATGTATCAATTAAATTCTGCACCCATGCACCGGTTTTCTTTTGACAGGGGAGGGTCCGACATTTAGAATAATCCTTACAAGCTTAGGATCGAAATCACGCCACTTGACTCAATGACAGGGGTATTGGGTGGTCGAGTAATCCAACGAGTACGCTTAGATTATAAGACATGTCAGTTTCTATAAAACAACTGCTGGAACAATATTTAAGATCATTATTTAAGATCATAAGATCTGTCCATTTCTATAAAACAACTACCCAAACAATATTTAATATCATAAGATCTGTCAATTTCAATAAAACAACTGCCCGAACAATATTTAAGAAAAAAAATAAAACAGCTGTTTTATCGGTAAAAATCCTAGTCATTAAATTTTGAATGCGATTGTACGCATTCCAATTTCCTTTTCGATATTAGAAATGCGTTATAGAACATCAAAAATGTTTATTTCGCTGCGCTCGCCAGCAATTTTATGTACATGGTCCCCATCAATAATAAAATCGCTTCTGTGCATCAGCAAGGAAGATTAATCGTGTCTGGCTTAAATTCGCTAAAACTAACACCTTGTTAAAAATTTGTGCCATTCCTCACCTACAATATAGCTTGTTAATATTGAAAATATTAATTTTGTGGGTTACTGTTGCCTATGTGATTATGAGAGACCTATAAGGAGCCATACAATAAAACATCTAACAAATGAAATAATACAAAGCCGTTGTTTATCTGGAGTATTTTATAATTATTGTTTTCTTTCTTTTGAATCAATATTATGTTTAACTGATTTATTGTGTGCAGGTGTAATTAATCTGTACAATAAATATATAACAATACTACATGTTATTGTTATGTAGCCAATGCATTTACGTATAACCACTACAATTTTGTCTGGTAAGGTTGTCCATAATCTCGTTAGTCTCTTTTGAAACAAAATGTAGGTTAATAGAACCGTTACCCTGTGAAATTACGGTTGGATATTTATTTATGGGTTGATTTGCTTTGTGAAATTTCCGGGGGAAAAAAATTTGAGGAGTCGCCAGATAGGCACCAGGGGGAGTCGAACCCTCGACCTTCTGTTTACTAGACAGACGCTCTAACCAACTGAGCTATGGCGCCTCAATTCAGCTGGGCCATATTACAGTATATAGACCGATCAATATAATACTGTACCGAAATAATACTACCGTATGGTGACTTTTACACTATAAATCGAGTTCAAAAACTTGTACTTTCCCATTTAAAATGATCATTCTAAGCAAAATATTTGCTTATTAACATTTCATCTCTATCATGCCCAATTCTCTTCATTTAAATCGTTTAGAGTAGTCCCATTTGTCAGTTATTTAGATTTTTTTTGTAACATTCATTTCTGCTGCAAACATGGCGGTTTGATACGCACGATTATCCAGACAGTTTCGTTTCAGAGAAGCAGTTTGGTTGATACTGATAGCATCTGAACAATAAAATTACTCTTCAGCATTCCACATGCATCGAAAAGGGGGTATTAAAATAATCAAGCTCGAGTCCAGAGGGGGAACGAGGCGCAGAGATTTTTTTCCCCTACAACATTCATCGAAATAACATCGAAAAAGCAAACGTGCAAAGCATTGCCACCGTAGGCTACTTGCATCGCCACATCGCCAAATCAGCAAGTGCCGTGTAATTATCCTGCCTCAGCTGTAGGGGTCCATCAATTCAAAAGGAGTCCACGCCAGCTTTTTTTTTTTTCATTGTTTAAATTTTAAAATATTTACACTATGGATACGGCAAACGGACCTTGCGCGTCACCGAAATTAATTTAGGGAGCTGTAATCTATAGGCCTATATATAGGCGCTACTATAAAAGAAGAAATTAGAAGATAATATTTTTTTTTTTGTTACTCCACCGAGTCGAGCCTTAAAGAAGCTCGAACCATGTCATTATACGGCACTTGTTCACTCCACTCTTTAACCCTATACATGTAGACTATGCACCTAGATCAGCAGAAATATTTTCTCAGAATTTCCAATTTTATCAAATCCTTTGGTAATCCCCCAGATCTCAAGCCAAACTTAACGTTGTCTCCACTCGGGACCCTCCCCTGCTAGGATTCCGGGACATGCCTCGGATATTATACCTTTACAAGACAATTTGTTTGAAATACTTTTTTTCTTTCTTTTTTTTTGACAGAATATAAAAACGCAGACTTTAGACATAACTGGTTGGCTAACCGCGGTAAGTATATTTATTACCAAAGTCCGGCTTTATAGACCTACTTTGATCTTGTCCTCTCATGGGGTGCCGGATTAACAAGTTAGACAGGGTGTCGCGGTTTGAAAAGGTACCCAGTTTGACTTGGTTCTGTATGCATGGAATCCTTAAACGTGAAAAAAAACAAAAGTTGAGTTATGTATCTATTTAGTTGCATATGGAAGCATTTCCACTATAGCACACTGTTTGGCGTATGTCCGTCTTCATTAGCCCAGTAGGAGTAGAACAGCAGGACGTGAAACCCCATTTCATTCATTTATTTTCTCAATAAGCTTTAAACCGCGACATCATATTTAGAAATGAAATCTTGGCATTTTGCTAGAAAACTTCTGAATTTTGATAAGGGTTTTTGTAGTGCCCAATTGAAATCTGAGCTGTAAAGTTATCCCACGACATTGTGAACTACCTGGCGAAAGGCGGGATATACTTGACAACAATACGTCAGTATTAAACGAGGGCGTATAAAAATATAGAAACTACATGTTTTTATTGAATATCTAAACGTCTGGACATTCTTCTTTCTGTCGAACACACTCAGTGACCATATTTACTTTTTCAACCCTTTAAAAAAACTGCGCTAAACATAATATATTCTTTTATTTAGAAATACATTAAAAGCCAAAGAAAACATGTTGTATTGTATCGATTATCAGCCCTTTGTCCTTTTATTTTTACCGAATAATATAGACTGCAATCGATTGAATATAGATAATTGTCAACAACTATCCCATACGGTATATTTCATATAACATATCATCAATCGAAATAACACACAACCCACTATTATATTACATTTATTAATAATTATTGTAATATTGTCCATGGACAATTCCCTTTCAAAAATATCGGTACAAATCGATTACAAAACCTTTATTTAATAATATACATGTATCGTTTAAAGGAGCTAAATCGCTAATATTTGGAACCTAGATATTGACCCAAATGGGTCGAAACGCATATAATAATGTAATCTGATTGTATATAAACTGATTTAAATTCAATTGTTTCCTTTTTTACTCTAATTTCAAATCAGTTATGTCCAGCGAAATACAGCATGTGTCTCAACCCTATAGCAATTTCTAACGTCTGGTTATTCCAGTCTATTAAGCAGGCTCTCCAGTTGAATATGTCTAGCCTCGTTCTTTCTGGTCACTTGTTGCAAATGACACTAAAACGCACTATGGTACACGATTCGTGTACCAATGGTAAAATGTTTATTTTGTCTTAAATATTGGATATCAGAAGCCTGCCTTTTCCTGGTAAAATCACAACATCAATGCTGATTTGAATTGACAAATAATTCGTATTTTCAACGTGTAAGACTTTGGATGATATTGAGTTAGAGACTTAGCTACTTATTCCGATAATGTTTACAGGATATGTGCCTGCTATATTAAATCGCGTGTAAGTATCTTACTAAATACCGGAGGTATACAAAACCGTAAACTTTACAGTACTGCTAACTTATTTTTATATCCTCTCCGTCCCACTAATTGATTTCATTCACAAAAATGGCACTGGTGGGCATACAATGTAATACATCGTATGGACATAAAAAGCTTCGTCTATGTTTATTTTCGGAAGTTCTGTATTTCTAAGGGGAGATGGGTGTAAGTGTGGGTGGGTGTGTTTGTGTGTGTGTGTGGTTGGAGGGTTGGGGTACCCACCGAAAATAAGTCAAAATAGTGAAATTTTGTTTACTGGTTTTGTCTTCAAGGTTTAAAAGCTTACACTTATTTAAAGCCGCTAAACCCTAAATGAATATTATCCATACTATTAGAATTCAATATTGGTCCATTTAAATCAATAATGATGTCATTATCTTACCATGAAAATATACGATCCTATTATCCAATATTTAAGACACAATGAACGGTTATAAATCACTATACACGGCTCGTGTATTTTATGGACATAATGGTTTCGTGTGCATTGTAATGACCAAAGATAAACATACCCCTGAAGACACACATTGGAAACATCTGAAAACATACCAATCACATTTAGAAAACTGATCTATCACTCATTTATTATGTCTACTTTTAATTTGTGTCCATTGGTATGGCATAATTATTGAAAAGAAATTCAGACAAATTAGAAAAGCTACACTTCATAGCTCTGAAGTTCATTTATCAAGATTTTTATGGTTCATATCATGAATTAATATCAAAAGCAGGTGTCTATTAGCCATTGAGGTTTTTAAAATTCTAGCTGGAGACAGACCTGCATATATGTCACATTTAATATCTGTTAAAAAAATCCTATTATAGTTGTCGCTATTCAAACCTACTTCAGGTACCAAATGTTAATTCGGAAAAAACATCATGGCAAAAACTCTTTTAAATTCCAAGCCGCCAAGATTTGGAATAGCTTACCATAACATATCAGAACAACCACTAAGTTCGGTATATTTAAAAAGCTACTGTTTACTTGGAATGGAACAGAATGTATATGTTCAGTGTGTAAGTCTATTAAGTGATATGCTGGTGCTAAAGTATGTAAATATAGCAATTATTGACTGTGATATTTCCATTTAAATGGACTGTGATAAAGGGAAACTTTTAAATGTAATGTTATAACTGTCAATTTTTATTAAATTTTAACTGTAATATATTTTAATGTAAATTTAGAATTTATATTCTAATTGAAATATTTATGTCGGTCTAAAAGCTCCAAGGAGTTTGTGTTTTTTACTGTACATACCGACTATAAATAAAGATTATCTTATCTTATCTTAGAAGACAATATGCGGAAGTAATTAAGAATGGTTGATTCGCTAACGCTAAAAAGAAAATCCCCCAAACAACACGAGTAGAATGGACTAGGCAGGCACAAATGACTGCCTTTCACCAAACATGATTGATTAGAAATTACAATAAAAATTGGATGCAAATCACTTTATTCATCTATATTACATTAATGTGTTTATAGCCATTTTCGTCTAAATTAAGGTTCCAAAGAACTGAGCTATCCGCTCATACTTTTTAGCTTTTAGCCTGGACCCACAAAGTACTTTTTATGGTATACCTTTTAGCTTTTAGCTTGGACCGACAAAGTACTTCTTATGGCATACCTTTTAGCTTTTAGCTTGGATCGACAAAGTACTTGTTATGGAGTACCTTTTATTTTAGGAATAAATAACAATATAATAATCAACAATTTTGATAAAATCGTTGAATATATACGACATATATAATCAGAATCTATAGAATACACGGAAATAGCTAAACGTGGTGGATAAGGTTATCGAGGACTTCATAAATTCCAGTTCCTGTATATTATGCCATGCAGGTTTCCATTATCACGATCCGTGCTGCGATTGAAATCATTGTTTTAATCGTGAAGTAATTGTGGTGATCCTATCATACACTGAGCAATCGTGTTGATCGTATCTGCACGTATCTGAATGTATCTGCACGTTCCATGATCGTGAACTAATAGGGACAGTCTTATCGTATAACGCATCACACGACAGCGGGAATGTTGCATTATAAGATAAACACTTCCTGTTTGGGAATTAAGATTGGTGGTATAGTGCAATAGACATGCCCTGAGATCACTGGGATCCAAAACGCGTTAGTAATGATAATAGTGCCAAGTAATGCTCCCCCTCTCCCCGAAATTCGATATTCACACCATTTCAAGTTTTTCGCCAGACAGTTCGAAAGTTTTCGGGTACTTTTGCGGTTCTTTTCTGTCAGATGGTAGAAAGTTACAAGACGCCTGGAACAATTTTATATATTTTACTTGTAGTATAAGGTATAATGATGAATAATGTCATTTTGGTAAGGAGCGGGGTCCCGGGCAGCACAAACTTCAGGTGCGCCATTAGCCCATTACATCACCCCATCCCATGCTGCAACATTTATCCGGTAGATGGTAACGCACCATCAACAACTAATGACCTGTCTATAATTAAATACCATTGTGCAGTAGATATACGGTGGGACTTCTCACGTCTTGTCATACCGGAATAGTCCGAATTGCCGGAATTACAATTTACTCGATTGAATTCAATCCCGGAAAGTTTAATCGAGTATCATCAAATTGAGATATATTGATGCGTTGTAAACATCTTAACGATTTTGTTTATTTTTTATTATAGAAATGGAACGATTCGCGGTTATCGTGGACGCCAGCGTCATATGGTGGAATAAACTATATGTTTGGAACGGATTCGTCCTTCTGGAGACCTTTGTTGTTTGTTGATAACTCGTAAGTAATATGAGCGCCGAACTCAACCAAGTGCAACCTTTGTTGGCCAGATGCCCTTTTTATTGTCAGATTTGGAATTTGTTATAACAATAAGCTATTCCTTTTTAGCTTAGCTACTTCTAATTTTAACAGTGGGACTGGCACGGAAAGTGTTCCCAGTTGTTCAGGTGAGACGAAAAACCGATATCAATCCATAGAAATACCGCTGCCTGGGCAAATTTCCCTCCACTCTCGCATTGCTCACGTGACAACAGAACTAATAATTACGATGTTAGTTTAGGTTCAAAATGATGGTAGTATTGTGTTTTGACAGTTAAACCATATTACAACATTCTAGTTTTAACACTGCATATAAATTATATACTTAAATTTACGATTTAAGTGTACAGGCCTACGTAAAACGTTATTATATGTGTTACAAGACTTTTATTATAGTAAAGTGTTCGTTTTACGTGTGCGTAAGTCTTTCGTGTGGTTTGTGAAAGAGTGAATTCAACAATATTCTGATATACTGTAAAAATTGAGCGCAAGGGCATTGGGTTTTCGATTAGAGCATGGACCTTAGGTTGTTTTTTTTTAGCAGTTTTGGGTATATTCATGACGCAGACTGGAACGATGAAAAAGAGTGATTTTAGGTAATTAGCGAAGACATTGAGTAATATCGCGTTCTATCAGTTGAATTCTCGTGCGGCAGGCATTCAACGGTTTTGCTTCTCGTCAGTCCATGTATTATAAGGTCCATGATTATAGTATCCTGGGTGCGAACCGTGGGTTGAGAAGAACTTTGGGACTTTGCCAGTCCATTCTCTACTTGTCATAGGTCGATCCTTCGTAGCTGACAACGAAGGTGTGTCTGGTATTTCGGATGCGCAAAAAAACCCCGTGGTTCACACTGGCTTAGGTGTAACCGAAAAAAACCGCCCCTGGCATTGGACACGTGACCATAGCAATAAAAATTCCAATAGGTTAGTCTCAAAAGGACCTAAGTATTGTGTAGACGCGTCACGCGATATCAAACTCACTTCCATTGTCTACGGCATGCCTGGTAACGGGACCGGGTTTGTTTGAGAAATTGTAGCCTACAGGTGCAAGGATTGACGAATAACTTCATTATTAAAACATACTTTTTTTTTACTATTTTCTGTCCACTAGTTGTATTTTCATTTACAGAATTGGTTCAGTAAGCATGATAACGGACAGTGCTCTACTTTTGCGCGCGAAATATACAGGGGAGGTAATGTGGGAACCTCCAGCCATTTACACAACACATTGCGAAAGCGTCATAACTTATTACCCCTTTGATGTCCAGAACTGTATGGTGGAAATCGTAAGCTGGGCTTACACTATAGACGAGGTCAATTTAACTCATATGGAAACTCATATCAACTTTGAAGACTACCGTGCGAACGGAGAATGGACTTTGTTGAGTTCTCATTTAGAGACGAATCAACTTGTCGACGGCCATGAGATTTTCTCCCAGTTGGAATTCGTCATGAAGTTCAGACGTCGTCCAACATTTTACATATTCAACATTATCCTACCGATCATGCTGTTGTCTTTTCTGAGTGTCATCGGTTTTGTGTTACCAGTTGACTCTGGCGAGAAAGTGGGCTATAATTTAACCAACCTCCTGGCTTATGCTGTCTTGTTGACTCTGATTTCTGACAATATGCCATCCACATCACATCATATATCTGTTCTCGGTAAGTATTGGAGTATATCTATCACTTGGCTCTATGACTAAGGTGCTGTCTCACTAGCCATGGGCTGCAGAGTTCGATCCCCAGGGTTTCCGGCTTGGTTTCCTCTTTTCAGTGGTGCAGTAAAAATTTTCCAAAAGCGCAATGTAGGCATATTACGTATGTCATTCATTCATCAACTGGAGTTTTATCCACAAGGGGGGTTGGATGGCTAAATGGTTAGCGTGCGCGAGCTGTATCATAAAGTCTGTCGTTGAGTCGACTGGCGTGGTTTCGAATCCCCGGTTGTACGTGGCAAGGAGTAGGGTCGCCTGTCCAACCTCGTGGGTTTTCTCCGGGTCCTCCGGTTTCCTCCCACTGCTAAAGACCCCTACGCGCAAGTGAATTATGTAAATAAAATTAAACCAAATGTTAGTCCCGAAATGACCTAGTTTGTGTCGAGTGGACGTTAAACCCCAGTTCTCTCTCTCTCTTTATCCACAAAAACTTAAACTAAATCATTTTTAAATAATTTATTTTAAAAGTGTCTTTGAATAAAGTTCCCAAGTTTATTTTGTTTTAGTTCAATGCTGAAACGGTGCCAATGAGATGTTGATACCGCCCTGTAGACTAAGGGCTCCGTTCTTATTGAATGATTTCTTTTTTTAAGATGGGACGCAAAACAGAGTACCACCCCTTTCGCACGTGAATCTAAGGGGAAAACCTGGCAGTGCCAAGGTGTCGAACGAATTAAAATTATGGTCGGGTTACGCATCAGCTCTGAATTAGACAATTCACTTATGTGAGTCGACAATTACGTATTTAGATCCGATGAATCCTTAAATGCTAATTTAATTGCAAACCATCCCCGCATCAATATCTGGCGGTTAATTACAAAGCTGAAGGTGAAAGAGGCGCTTAGAAATTCTAAATTCAAGCCTATAGGGTGTAGCTGCGGCACGATCGTATCTCCAACGCTTTTCCTAGGCTGTGCGTCGCCCCTCATTCGAAAGGATAAATTAAGTTCCGCTAACATGACCCTTGATGTTCTCAATCTACTCTATCCTAGGGTAGACAGACACGGGTTCTAAGATCTAATCTACGATTTCGAGTGTGAGATTGGTATCAAAGACCTTATGGTCTACTTTGTGACGAATTGAGGTTTAACACAACACCCAACAAATAGAATTCTGATTAAACAAAATGAAGATTTAAGTTCATCTCAAGTTGACCAGTATTAATGGTGTTTATTGTATCTTATATTTTCAGGTGTATATTTGACCTTAATTCTATTTGTTGGTGCCCTGGCGGTAATACTGGCCGTTGTCAGTCTGTATCTCCATCATCAACCGCCAATCAAACCAATTCCAAGATGGATTCAACTCGTCGTCCTGGGATTCATGCATAAGTTAACATCATATGATATAAAGGATGAAAGAGGCGAAGGCGGGAAATCGTCAAAAGGAAAGGCTTCTGGGGAAGATAAGGTAGCTCCATTAGATGACCAGACCAGCATTAAGACTCCTTCCGAAAAATCACCACCAACCGTCTCCTGCAGAATGGAAAAGACAAGGGCTTGGTCAACCGAACAAGGTTTAAAACCAGATTACAGCGAATACTCATGGGTGGATATGTCTAAGATTTTCGATGCTTTCTTCTTTCGATTTTTTCTAGTGTTGGTGGTTTTGGTGACCATTATATGCATGTTAGTGCTTGTTGTTGGTGGTGCACTATCATAATCAATAACATGTTCATTAAACCTGTATAATTTGGTTATCGCAGAAAGAAAAAAAATTGAATGAAATAAGAGTGTAACGACCGAGTTTTATGAACCCAACTCGCCAAAAGAATCCTTAGTGATATCCTCATACTTATTCCACCAACCTCGTTTGAAAATAACTACTCAGTGATATATGTATCTGCGTCATAGAGTTAGTAAAGTTACCTTGATTAACAAGATAGTGGGCTTGTCCCACATAGATAGAGTGGGAGGGAATAAGGATAAAAAAAACACACTGCAAATTATTTATTGAGACATTTATTAGAAATTATTTATTTATTTAATTTACAACCCACTTTATGTAAAGACATGTTTTGTAATTTAATGTGAGTGTCTACCAAATGGATCATTGCGATGAAGTCCCAACAATATTATATACATCCGATAATGACCAACAGAACATCTCTACATCATATGGGGTTACATATAATTGTGCTATATTCTGTATTTCATAATGCACACTTTTTGTATACTGATTGTATGTCCCCATAACTCGAGTATAGGATACATTATGCCAAAACAGATTAAATGAACTTTTTACAGCTTGTACAGTTAACATAGATAATTTCAAATTTAAAAAAAAACCATTTAATATTACTTTTGTCCTCTTTGCCGACTCCCTACCTGTGCACCACTCGTTTAAGATGGTGTATTTTTTTATTTTTTTTAAAGTTAATCTAACCAATGACAATGTAGAAACAGTTATCGATCTATCTGTCTTGTTAACGACAATGTTTGTCAAATGCAATTAAATCTTTGAGCAACGTAGTGAGTTGAACAAAGATTAAATGTGATCCTGCCAAAATAATAGCCAAACATTTGTAATTATATCCGTATATTGTAATAAATTGTGTAATAAAAATGTTGTTTTATTTAAACGCGTCATCATTTCTCAGTGACACTGATGACTAATCAGCAGGCATTAGCATGCTAGAACAGGTTATAAACGATGTATCGCTGGGTTAGGAGACCCCAACCCAATTCATAAGTTTCGCCAGTGGTGGGTGTGGTAGAGGGGGGTGGGCGGGCAACAAAAAAAAATAATGTACACAAGGAAGGTGCAAGTTCCACTTCATGGTATTTGATAGACGAATGAGCCCTTGATTAGGAAATATAACTTAAAAATGGGATTTTGGGTGGAAAGGCCACTTAAGACGAGCTTAAAGGTTACCAATTAGCAATTTTACTCTGAACTATTTTTCCGTTATCGCGTGATCTGCGGTAGGCAGCTCCTAAAATTTGGTGGGACTATAGAATTTTTTGGAGGGGCTGAGGATGTGCAGAAGGCTCGGGGGGTCTGGGGATCATCCCCCATAAAATTTTGAACATTTGGTGCTCCCTCCTCGCATCTGAGTGCATTCCCGGGCCTGAAATTGAAGTGCCTCAGGCAAGGTTTTATGGCTGAAGTTTCTGAAATTTCCTTCTTCGACTCCTCCCGCCGATATCATCTTGATGTTAGGGTAGTAGAGAGCGTCTTTTGATTTACACGGAGAACTCTAGGCCGAGCAATACAGCTGTAGTATCAAATTTCAAGTGCACAATAGGCACCTTATGTTAGACACAATAGGCACCTATATTTTAGGCGCCCGTAAGCACCCTACATCGAGTGTATCAAATGCAAACATTTGAACCGGCGCCTTGTAGGCGAACAAATAAACCAGGACCTCTTTTAAACCCGTAACCCGGGTATAAGAGGGCAGGTTTCAGGAAAATGGCGATAAATTATGCAGCCTCTGGTGCCATCAAGAGCTCGAGCTAATTTTGAACTATTTCTTCTGCCTATAGCGTAAAGAGGTGGACAACCTCTTTTTAATAACCCGTGCAGTTGAATGAATGAATGATTGACACAGACGGGCACTTGGAATCGTAGCAACGCGCGTAAACAAAACAAAGCGACTCATGCTGGTGCGGCTCTTTCAGATATCATCAGCATAGCGGCTTACCTTATTCGCCGATTTATTGATTATCCTTACATGACAGGCAGGCCTCGGTGGACCATGCTACGAGCCTACGGGTCGCATACTAATTTGAACACTCCTAAAAAATCATTATTGTCGGCGAAATATTGGGGGGGGGGCTAATTCGATTTTTTTTTTGGGGGGGGGGGGGGGTAGCCACCCCGTGGCTACGGACCCGGTGATCTGTTCCAGGTATGTTACACAAAACTACATGCACGTGTTTTATACTGCTAGGAGCAAAAATATGAGATATAAAGTTATGGAAGTTTAAGCTATAAGTATGACATAATCTCAAAAATAACGAAAAGATCACTTGAACCCCATCAGTAATTAAAATTGTAATCAACAATTGAGAAACAAAGTGTGAAACTAAGCTTAAATTGTACGGAATGATATCAAAATTCATTATCATCAACTTAAGAAAGAAATTTCTGGTGGTCAGTGACTTAAGAAGATGATAATTTTGGTTTGCACTGACTGACCCCTAATTAGAAATTTAATGAACATGAATGGTGCGACATTGAAACAAGGTGTAAAATGTAGGGAATGGTCATAGGATTCACAACCACTAACTTAAGAATGAATATTTTGCTGGTAAATGAACTTAAGAACTGCAGATTTGACCAATGCCCATAAAAAAAATATCAGTGACAAGCAGTACAATATGGCCGGAATGCTAAGTTTCCTCTTGATCTCTGATACTAATAGTGATACATTAATTACCGTCCACTTCCTTTAAACTAACAGTCATTTAAAACATAGATCTGTGTCATGTTATTGCCGACATCAAACAAGACCCAATCAACCAGAACTAACTTAAGAGAAGCAACTGTCTTCATCAGGGGGAGCAATGTCGAAGTCATCATCAGAGGTATCCTGATCAGATTTCTCATTGCCCAATGTCCTCCTCGACCAATGATTCCCGAAGTTCATGACCATTAAACCATATGATTTCAAACTGTCCTTCCCTCAACTCCCAAGAATATTCTGTCGATGGGTGCTGGATAATTCCTGATTTGTCAGCGCTTCTCAACATCTTTGCAATCAAAAATACCCGTTTGATCTGTGATGACGTTTCTGATTCGCAGGGAGGAATCATGCTACCATCGATGCCCTTCAGTTTCACCAGAAGATTTTTACATCTTGCCTTGGACCCATTACGTCTTCTCAACCATGGTGCTGACTGAACAGATTGCTTGTCCCTTAGCCTCATATATCCGCTAGCTTTCCTCTAGCCGCAATGTCTTTTACAAGATTTGCATATGACCGAACCTTTCCTTTTCTGTGAAAAGCTTATATTAATGATATTCTAACATCCACCCAGATGTGACCATTCAATTTTAAGCAATGGTGGAGGAGAATGCACACATCTGGATGGATGTTGGAATATCATCAAAAATAATCGAAGATGCGTCATGACCTACGGACAGACAACTATTTTCAGAGATAACCATTTAGAAACCATCAAAGGGGTGATACACAACTGGTGACTGGTGCGATTAAGAGATAGTTGTTTAGTGCCAAAAGGATTCGCCCTCAGGTCACCAGTTGCGTCCAACCAGTTTGATATCATTCCGTACAATTTAAGTTTGGTTTCACACTGGCACCTTCTATGTTGATTACAATTTTAATTACCAATGGGGGTCAAGTGATATTTTCGTTATTTTTGAGACTATGTCATACTTATAACTATAACTTCATTAATTTTATATCTCAGAGTAAAAACAAAAAAATGCCAATTGGGAACTGTGACCTCTTTTTAAGTGGCCTTTCCACCAAAAATCCCGATTCTTAAGTTATATTTCCTAATTCAGGGCACATTCCTCTATCAAATGCCACTGAAGGTTGGGTTTAGAAATTGAAGCCTACAGGTGCAAAGATTAACGAATAACTTCATTGTTAAAACATACATTTTATTTTATTTTTTTTTTGTTCACTAGTTGTATTTTCATTTACAGAATTGGTTCAGTAAGCATGATGACGGACAGTGCTGTACTTATGCGCGCCAAATATACAGGGGAGGTAATATGGGAACCCCCAGCCATTTACACAACACATTGCGAAAGCATCATAACTTATTACCCCTTTGATGTCCAGAACTGTATGGTGGAAATCGTAAGCTGGGCTTACACTATAGACGAGGTCAATTTAACTCATATGGAAACTCATATCAACTTTGAAGACTACCGTGTGAACGGGGAATGGACTTTGGTCAGTTCTCATTTAGAGTCGAATCAACTTGTCGATGGCCATGAGATTTTCTCCCAGTTGGAATTCGTCATGAAGTTCAGACGTCGTCCAACATTTTACATATTCAACATTATCCTACCGATCATGCTGTTGTCTTTTCTGAGTGTCATCGGTTTTGTGTTACCTGCTGACTCTGGCGAGAAAGTGGGCTATAATTTAACCAACCTCCTGGCTTATGCTGTCTTGTTGACTCTGATTTCTGACAATATGCCATCCACATCACACCATATATCTGTTCTCGGTAAGTTTTGGAGTGTATCTATCACTTGTAGCGGGGGGCACGTTGGCTCAGTGAGGATGGTGCTGTCTCAGTAACCAGAGGGTGCAGGATCCGATCGCCGGGGTTTCCGGTCCGTCTTTATCTATAGCCTGGTTGGGCATCAAAGTAGGACGTTAATCCCTATTTCATTCATTCATCACATGGAACTTTATTCACAAAAACTTAAACTAAATCATTTTTAAATAATTTATTTTAAAGGTATCTTTGAATAAAGTTCCCGAGTTTATTTTCTTTAGTTCAATCCTGAAACGGTGCCAATGAGATGTTGATACCGCCCTGTAGACTAAGAGCTCCATTCTTATTAAATTATTTCTTCTTTTAAGATGTCACGCAAAACAGAGGACCACCCCTTCGTACGTAAATCTAAGGGGAAAACATGGCAGTGCCAAGCGTCGAACTCTCTTGTAACATCAACGAGTTTAAAAGTGTGGTCGCGCTCCACATCAGCTCTGAATGAGAAAACTCCATTGTGGCACTTGACACTTACATATTTAGATCCGATGAATCCTTAAATTGTAATTGTAAAGCATCCCCGCAAAAATATCTGCCTGCTAATAACAAAGGTGAAGGTGAAAGAGACGCTTAGAAATTTTAAATTCAGGTCTATAGGGTGTAGCTGCGGCACGGTCGTATCTCCAACGCTTATCCTAGTAGACTGTGCTCGCCCCTCAGCCGAAAGGAAATCCTTCATGGATAAATTGAGTTTGGCTAACATGGCCCTCAATGTCCCCAACCTACTCTAACCTATAGGGTAGACAGACCTTATCAAAGACCTTACCGTCTGACCATATGACCAGGGAGTTCTACTCTTGTTACCCAACTGATGGGATCCACAAGTGATTATCCAGAGGGCTAGCCAATGGCACACCAACGCCTGACTCGGCAGATGTTTACTTCCTAACTGACAGGGTCAAAGTCAGGCAGTAAGCCCGAGATCCATATGCCAGCTGGATCTACACTCCATACCAATCCAGCCTCGGCAATATCATATCTTTGATGGCAACGCGGGTCAGACTGCGCACGCTCCCATCATTCCTAAAGTCTCCTATGCAATACCCTCTTCCTTGTACCATGAGCAACTCCTTTAGTTGAAACTTAACTTGGATGCAACCCCTCAAAAGGCATTATGTCTTTACCCAAAGGAAACGAAATCGAATAGGCCGTCTAATCGATCTCGTGCCTAGCCCAATTTTTGGCTCCTCTTGCAAGTTTCCCAGGGAACACTTGTCTGTGATATCACCCAAGGTGGAAGCAGACGTTAAGCCTCAAGGAATGAACGAACGAACGAGAGGACCACCCGTGAACTCAGTGGCGTGCACCTGAAATAACCTCTGACGGTTGAAATTCGCTGCAGTCCCAACAAAAGTTCTCTAGTGCTAGGTTCCTACTACCATGATTCATGCTACGATTGAAATCATGGTTTTAATCGTGGAGTAATCGTGGTGATCCTATCAAGTCTAAAGCAAGGCTGACACTTGCACGATTCCGTGGCACGCATTTGCACGACTCGATTCGTGCCAGTGCGCAAACTAGTCGTAAACTGGCGTGAAGTGTGCGTAAACCCGTCGTGACTGCGTGCGCGACAAAATTTAGCGACTGGGTCGTGAACTATGCGCAAACTGTTCGTGAACTCGTCGGGACGATGCGGAAGGGTGCGCGGGAGGATGCGTGACAGTGCGCGCCATGTCACGACTGTTACGAACTGCCACGAATAGTTCACGACTAGTTCACGAACAGTTCACGACTACTGCGGCACGACACCGTCCGAATTGCGCAAACTCGCCGTGCCAATGCGGGAAGTGCGTAAACAATGCGCAAACTATGCGTGAACTCGTCGTGTCAACGTGGACACTGATGGGCACGCATTCGTGAACTCGTCGTGAACTATGCGTGAACTAGTCGTGAACAGTGCGGGAGCCTCCCAGTTCGTGTCCCAAAATGGGCACGACTTGCCACGACAAAATCGTGGCCAAAAGTCGTGCAAGTGTCAGCCTGCCTTCATCATAATATATTGATAAATACCGGCATGGTAATCATAGTCAAAAATGATTTACTTCCACACTGTGGATCTGTGGTGCAACCTCGGGTTCACACCACCATTGTACGATGATCAAACTAACGGGTTCTGCAACTGCTTCGAGAGAATTCTGATTAAACAAAATGAAGATGTAAGTTAATCCACACGTTTGTCTCGGATTGACCAGTATTAATGGCGTTTATTGTATCTTATATTTTCAGGTGTATATTTGACGTTAATTCTATTTGTTGGTGCCCTGTCTGTAATACTGGCCGTTGTCAGTCTGTATCTCCACCATCAACCGCCAATCAAATCAATTCCAAGATGGATTCAACTCGTCGTCCTGGGATTCATGCATAAGTTAACATCATATGATATAAAGAATGAAAGGGGCGAAGGCGGGAAATCGTCAAAAGGAAAGGCTTCTGGGAAAGATAAGGTAGCTCCATTAGATGACCAGACCAGAATTATGACTCCTTCCAAAGAAGCAACACCAACCGTGTCCTCCAGAATGGAAAAGACGACTGAGAAAGGTTCACAACCAGATTACAGCGAATACTCATGGGTGGATATGTCTAAGATTTTCGATGCTTTCTTCTTTCGATTTTTTCTAGTGTTGGTGGTTTTGGTGACCATTATATGCATGTTAGTGCTTGTTGCTGGTGGTGCACTATCATAAACAATAACATGTTCATTAAACGTGTATAATTTGGTTATCGCCAAAAGAAATGAAACTGAATGTAACGACCTAGTTTTATGAACCAAATTCGCCAAAAGAATTAGTGAAAACGTGGCAGTAATTCCGCCACCCTCGTTTGAAAATAACGCACTCGGTGATATACTATGTATGTAAAGTTACCTTGATTAACTAGATAATGGGCTTGGGCCGCTAGGCCCACATAGATAGATCACTCACGAGTGTGGGAATATGGTGAATAGGAAGAAGGATAAAAAAAAACACTGCAATTTTTTTTATTAGAAGTGATTTATTTATTTAATTTATAACCCACTTTATTTAAGACATGTTTTGTGATTTAATGTAGGTGTCTACCAAACGGATATCGTGGATGGCCAACTGAACATCTCGGACACCAAATGGGACTCTGGGGTTACATATAATTAAGCGAAATTCTGTATTTCATAATGCACACTTTTTGTATACTGATTGTATGTCCCCATAACTGGAGTATAGGATACATTATGTCAAAACAGATTAAATTTACTTTTTACAGCTTGTACAGTAACATAGATAATTCCAAATTTAAAAAATCTTAATTTAATTTCACTCTTGTCCTCTTTGCCTACCCTCTGCCTGCGCGCCACTCGTTTAAGATGGTGTATTTTTTTTAAAGTGAATCTAACCAATGACAATGTAGAAATAGTTATCGATCTATCTTTCTTGTTAACGACCATGTTTGTCAAATGCAATTAAAATCAGAGCAACGCAATGAGTTGAACAAAAATTAAATGTGATCCTGCCAAAATAATAGTCAAACATTTATAATTATATCCGTATATTGTAATAAATGGTGTAATAAAAATGTTGTTTTATTTAAACGAGTCATCATTTCTCAGTGACACTGATGACTAAGCGGGAATCGAACTTGTATGGCGTTAAAGAAATGGGTAAGCCTAACTAATCACCAGGCAGTAGCATGCTAGAACTGATAATAAACGAGTTACATGTTAAGCCTAGTAAATGCAGGTTGCAGGAGGACCGCATCACAAAAAAAGCAAACACCAATAGACAAACAATGCACAGATATTGCAAGTAATAAACAACAAAAGTATATCATTGCCCTAGCGACAAGGAAAGCGTCAGCCAATTGTGGAGGTAATCCACAAAAGACAGGGGTGGGGGTATAATATTGTTAAACGTTGTATTATTTTAGTGTAAGTCATGATCAGCTATGTGAAGTTGTTTTTGGTACTCTAGGAATAGGACAACTAGTCTCGTGCACGACACTCGTTGATTTCCTGTAAGTTCACCGGGCTTAATATCTTTGGACTTAAATTTAGAAACCAAAAGTAAACTTAGTACGCGATCTGTCATCAGTCAAGTTGTTACAATACAAATTGTTAGCTTGAGAAGTGTCAACAGGTGGTCTGGAAAGGACAAACCCCTGTGCACTTCATTATGACTGTAACCCACAGCTGACTGGTTTCAACCAATGACGTATGTATAGTGATTTTCAATATGAATAGCTCGACGAATGTGCCTTGTTGACACAAGGCCAAGATCAGTATAAGTAATATCCTGACAATGACCCAGGACAGAGGTCTTTAAATGCAATATCCTCACAAGATCGTTATGAGTAATACCCTTACAACCGTTTTGGGGGAATGTCATTAGTAACGAAGATCTTTATAAGTAATGTCCTTAGAACTGCCCACCAAATATTAGCACAGTGGAATCCCTTGCGAAAAATTAATCTCTAATGGAATCCCATGCAAACTAATATATTGTGTATAATAAATCTCTAATAGAAATATCAATTAAAAAATGGTACATTTCCGTTCAGTATTTACAAATATATGCTGATTTGAAATTGCATCGATGTATTCTTCCCTCTATGTAATAAGCCCACTGCACTACCAATTTGCTGCCCGCGAATAATTATTAATGGGCCTATTTTAAATAAACTATCTATCGTAGGCATTTTGATGTTGTTTTCTTAATTGAATTTTGAATAATTAATCTGAGCTTACATTAGCGTGGATCAAGCAGTGAGATTATGTGGGGTTTAACGTCCTACTTTTGGGCACCAACCGAGCTAATGAGAAGGACAACAACACCATGCTGCGTCGGGTCAGTAATAGGGCCTTAAAGCCCATTTAATTTCATTTCATCATTTAAATGAAAAAGAATAGATACGATATGAAGAAAAAAAATATCAGTCATCTAAATGATAATGATGTTTGTTTGATGTTTGATTTCCAATTGCATTTCGTTGGGACAAAAACTCCAAGTTCGGGTCTTTTATTTGTTTCTTTGATTTTGTAATGGAAGGACTAAACGGCGACATCCTACTATTAAAAGGCCGTATGAATGATCAATCAGTAGCGGCTAAGCGAATATTTATTGCTTATCTGTATATCGAGGGATATGGGCCATGTGTGTCTTCCCGCTTCCACGGAAGTTATATCACCGACACTGGCTTTGAACCAACAGATAAAGGGGGGTAACTCCTGTATTACTCTCGTGGGGATATAATAGCTTTATGGTATAATTATAATAATACCACGTAATGCGCATCAAGAGTTTGTGACGTTTGGGTGGTCCTTGCGTTTGACACCCGCGCTCCACCGTCTGTAATACAATATATAATTAAACTATTACACAAAAATGTGTCAGGCGTCATGAATGTGATCCCGACATTGCCGCTTGGCCTTAGCCGCCCGGTCTATGAACCGCTTCCCTGGCCTCTCTACTGAGGTACACATTCCAACGATGTATGCTTTTATTTATATTTCCATAGTTTAATATAGGCTCAAGCGTCGTCTCTGAAAGATGATTTTATTTCTTTCGTAAAAAAAAGAAAAAAAAGTTGACAACAGAATGAAATAAAATACTTACGGTAGAAATGACACTCCTTTAAAGCAACAATAGGAAATGAAAGTTATCTGTCGCACCTGTAAGTCACCAGTAAATTTACCCCAGACAAAAAAATCATAACCGTGGAATACAAATTACAATTTCAGTCCATTTTTTTATGAATTAAATACCACACTCTACACGTGGTTTTTTTCTGTCCGGCTTTACTTCTTTAAACGTCAAGATCCGGCGTAGTAAAAGCGCTCAGAAAATAAACTCAAATCCCTTCCTTTGGCCGCAAATAGAGGATACATACATAGTGCCCTACCAAAGCTTTTGATAAAAGAATAAAAAATAAATAAAGAAATACCATTTGTATGTCCAGTTCTATTTCTACTACTTTATTTTTTATTATTTTATTGAGTGAATCAGCGGATTATATTTCTTTCAGATTTCCAGATAATTGAACATTCTGGAAAAAACGTACAAATTTGTTTTTGAGCCTCAAAATCTTTCCTTGAATAAATTTAAAACTAAATCTAGATATGTAAATTTAAACTGGCATTAATACTTCAATAGGACTCAGAGATATAAAAAAAAATATTAGAAAGGGAATTCTAAATATGACCTATATTTTACCAGAGAAACATTATTAAAAACGCGGGAAATAGCACGTTCAGTCAGATTAACCAATGAAATGAATATGAAGTGTAATATGACGTCACCGTAATGGCAGCCACAGGATATATGAGGAGTTCGGTAAGTTTTATTTTGAGTTTATTTGGGGCCTCTCGGCTAATTATCGATGTCTAATTAATGGTTCCGGGTTGTTAGTGACCATTCTGAATTACAAATGACTCGGTTTTGTTGTTGAAGTTACTGTGGAGCGAGTAAATTATCCCCGAATAGTGGAAGTTCACTTCGGACGGGGCAAGTGCACGACTTGACATCCATCAACGAACGACATACTTTTTTTCGCTCGTGACGTTTACAGCACTTTTATTTTTGTCAAAACACACGAATGGCTGTACTATACAAATTTAAACCATGTGGATATAGTTTGGTTTATTTTTAGCTGTAAGATGTGTTTCAATATTTAATAACACACTTCTAATAACGAGCAAAATACAACACATTCCTGGGCCTCGGGGAAGTAAGGGTTGCGTGCAAATTTGGAATTTCACAACTTTATTTTTAAAAAGAAAACTTGATCCTTCTAGTTATGCAATCGATGTCAAAGTAAAGAAAAACGGAAAAGACTTATGTTTTAATTTTTTTAGTAATAGTAAGCTTATTAATATTATTTTAAAGGGCAGTACCGGTAGTAGTAGGGTACCGACACTGGCGACAGTAACGGTAGCCTACACTGTGCGAGCAGTTGACAATTTATGTAATACTCTTAATAAATGCAAATGTCAGTGCTTGACACTTCCTTTAGATGAAATAATAGGAACAAATTTTTATTCATGTCAAACTCAAATTGTGGTTATTGATGATTAATTGGCCATGTATCTACTAAGTTAATGACCAATACATAAGCTTATGAATATGTAGATCAAAATGTATAAATGCGGGTGAGTGATTTTAAAACAGAAACTAAATCACATTGCACCGGTTATAATTTTGTGAACTAAAATGGTTAATTTCATTTGATAGACTCCTGGTCAGCAGGTCAATTTTCTTCCTCTATATTGAAAAAGCTACATTCATTTTCTGTGTGTATATATACTCTTCAAAAAAAGTAGGGGATATTTGATTTTGGGGGCATAATACTAAAATATGCAAATGACTACGAAAAAAGTCACTATAGAACCTAACAGAAGAAACATTTCCAGTTACATGTGACGCCCAAACGCACCAATAGCTACCGCATGGAATGCAGGTGATGCTTGGGATCATCATGGGGGTCCAACCCAAGATTTGCACGACTATGACTTTGAATGTTACAGTCATTGTGGCATTGAATTCCAGGGTGGAAACATCAGTTTAATTGTTTTAGTGACCAGAAAACAAATTTTGATATGCGTCGGCTTACCCAAAATGAAAGGTTACGTGCCCTTGGCATGCTACAGATCGGCACAACACAGGCGGTTGTGGCGCGGACGATGAATGTTTCTCAGTCTGTCATAAGCAGGCTATGGTCCAGATACCGTGATACACAATCTGTACAGGACAGATCCCTTGTTTGAGAGATCATCACATTCAGGCAAGACGTCGTTGGTGTAGGGATCGTCAACACTGGGATAATCGACGCTGGAGCAATGTGATGTTTTCAGATGAGTCAAGGTTCACTGTTGATTTTTTGGACAGACGTAGGAGGGTGTGGCGTCGTCGAAACGAGCGCTTCCAAGACGTTAACGTCATCAGACATGATCGATTTGGGGGTGGTTCTGTTATGGTGTGGGGAGGCATCACTGTTGCTGGAAGAACGGCTTTACATGTTGTTGCAGGGCGTGTTACAGGCCAGTACTACCGGGACAACATCTTGGCAGTCCATGTTGTGCCGTTCGCACGACGTCATGGCCGCCGTTTCATCTTCCAGGATGACAACGCAAGATGTCACAGGGCCAGGATCGTTACAGGTTACCTCCAACAACAGAACATCACCACATTACCTTGGCCAGCACTGAGTCCCGACCTCTCCCCCATCGAGCATGTCTGGGACATGCTTGGACAGAGGTTACGTCAACGTCAACAACGTCCTGCCAATGTCCAAGAACTTGCTGCTGCGTTGCAACAGGAATGGGACAATCTGGACCAAAATGACCTTAGACGTCTCATTAGGAGTATGCCACGTCGGATCAATGCTTGTTTGGCAAACAGAGGAGGATTTACCCGTTACTGACTTGGTTGTGATGCTGTGGTAACTTTGCTGTTTGACCCCGGGTATCATTTTACCCTTATAATGGTCAGTCTGTGCCTTACTTAGTCTAACGATCATTTGGAATAAATCGATGAATGTGAACTTCATTTCATTTTGTCATTTGTTTCTTCGTCAGTTTCATTAGGTGACTTTGATAACACTTAAAAATCAAATATCCCCTACTTTTTTTGAATAGTATATGTAGCCTACATGATGTAACCAGTGTAATTATTTAACACCTAACAGATAGCCCGCACCCATGCCATTTCCCATCCGTTGTTGTTTTTCGTGTTTAATGTCTGCTTTCACCGAGGGAGGTATCGCCTGGAGTAGGCTACCCGGTGTAAACCCACAGAGTTGAGAAGGTGCCCCTATCTGCAAGCTTCGTACGCTCATACTAGTAATACCTGAGATCGAAACCAGAGGTGACCGGTCTTCTGCTGGTTGAAGCACGACCCTCTAGACCACTAGGTCATCCCACATCACACGCATCCCCCTCCCTTTTTTCTCATCAGCCTTACTCAACTATTTATGGGCCTCACCCACAGTTTATCCTATTTGTTACCTGAAAAAATAACTGATCATCAGTTTTATGGATTGAATCGTAAATCATTTTCAGAAGTTTAAGCCTAAATTTTTCTTTAAAAAATAAAACAGACAAGTTTATCACAGTCATGCATGACAACCAAAATCTTTACCGGGGTATGGGAAATAAATATATGTAAAAAATATATTTTGTTAAGTTTTAATTTCACTGCCATCAAAAACACAGACCATGCCATTCAGTCTGGGGCCATTACAAATATTTTGGAGTTTTAATTTCTTTCATGGCTTCTACATGTACCACAAAATTAGATCCTGTGCTACAATCAAGATTATAACTTTGTTTGAAACTCTGAGTCATTTGCGATGGTATTATTTTACATGACTGACAGTGTTGTAATAAACGCTTTATTATATTACAGTGGTGCATTTCACTACATCAGTTGTATTATGGGGTGTTGAATTTCAAGTTTTAAACTGAGTTGATCTCTGTGTGTGTCTATTTCAAACTTTCTAAACACTTATTACATTTACTGTTATTTGATTCAGTTGTCAGAACCCCCCCCCCCAAAAAAAAAAACCCTCCGCTGGAGGCACTGGTCATAACAGTAAAATACTAATCTTTTGTTCTGGATAGGTTAGATATTTGATTGATTGTGTGCCTTCACAATAAATGATTATTGTTTCAAATAGCAACTATGAATAATAAGACGTAATTAGGTCAAACTCTTAGATTGTTGGATCATTTTGACCTTTAGTGTCAGTGAGATATTAATTCAGTAATGTTCAGTGTATTTCCTGGAAGTCCATATTCTTTACAATGTCAAGGTCTTGCAATGTCAACAATTGTCTGATGCCATAACTGATTGAACAACCAACATGGATTGGTAAGGAGCTATAATTCGATTACGGATGTCTTTTCTTTGAACTTCAGGATCAGTTTTGAAGGTGTTGACATTGCTTTTCACCCAAATATTCGCTAAATATTCATTACCATTATTACATGTACCAAATGATTAAATATTTCAATGGCTTTTTTGAGATCTTGTTTTATTCTCTACTTGCCTGACTGGCATTGAATTTGACGGTTGGAGAACTTGCCTCTCAGCCTATTTACAGTACAGACTATAAAACCGAAATTTAATCTTAAACATCAATAAATAAATTCAAAATTATAGTCATCATAAAAACTAATAATTAACAGTGATATAAACATACATTATGCAAGAGGTAAATCTGCCTATTGTAGGTCTTTCTTTAGGCCTGAAATGTTATATAAACTATTAATTAGACATTTATTAACAAAACAAGAACATAATCAACTCTCAATGGTATCGGATACTAGAGATTTTAACTAGATTAAAACGGTTCGCCATTTAAAAATTTAATTTGAAAATGGGAAAGCGAGGCTAAGTCTCGATTATACCAGTGCCCTGGTTACCACAATACACACGTCTTGTCAAAACGACAAACAGTGATAACGTGGCTCAGAATGAAGTATTATTTGAATGAAATTTTCAATATTTTCATTTTACATTATCTATTTATGAACTATTATTAGTATTATAGCAAGAATGGCCAGCTCTTTGTCTTTCTTACATAATGTATCTTTAAAATATTGGGAAAGGTATCCTGCTCAAAATTTTGTAAATTAACGCTGTGGTTTCAGCATTGAATTTATAAACAAACAGCTGCCCCTCACCTCATACGTTTCTGTCCTTCACTTATATAAAATTATGCGGGAACCATAAAAAGCTCCTGCCAATTTCAAAAATAAGAGAACAGCTCCCGTAAATTCTACATTTTCTTGAATTAAGGAGAGCCAAAATGTATATGCTTTAGTCTTGTTTAATATTTGGTGAATATGTTTGGTGAAAATGGTAGCGTCAGAATTATCAACATGGAAACTGATAGCTCAAATGTATGCAGTCTAAAAATAAACAAAAACAGAAAGTAGTTTATTAATCTCACTATTTAGGAGAGGGATTTAGCTAATTTGCAGGTGTCTTTAATGACTCCTGCAAAGGAAAATCAAGGTGCGTCGAGAGGAGCAGAGGCGAAAGTGCACCTTTTAAAACGTGAAGGACTGATTTTTAAATGGTTTTGATTAGCAAATAATGTTGAAATTGACCAACTATGTGGCTATGTCATAAAATAAATATGGACTGTAAAACCTTGTTATAGAAAGCAATGGATTAGTGAAAGACCATAAGCTTACATGTAGAAAATTTGTTATATGTTTCAAGCACTGATAAAATGTCTGGAACTAATGACTAGTACCTGACATATTGAAATTACAATCTAGTTGGACATATTTGGCATGGCTTAATCTATTTGTTAAGGCCAGCTCAAT